GTTTTCTAGGGTGGATTGAAAATAAGCTTTTGAATAATATGGTATAATGAGCACTTCTGGACAACTGTCCTCCTGCTTTTCTCCAGGGCTACCACAGTTCTTCCTCATCGTTCCTACTTGTATCTTCAACTACTTTCCAGAACTTCCTGTCCAATCTCTGCGTTCTCTGTCATGTGTGGCCACTGAGGCCTCCACTCAGCTTAGTTGTCACTTAAGGTTGGGGAGGGATGTCTTTAAATGCCTGGGTCTTATATATCTTCCTAGCCTTTGCTGAGGGTCTTTGTAGAGGTCTCTGTAAATATCAGGGCCATCAGAGTGTTGACCTGAGTGAGGCAAGAAGGAAATCCATGGGGCTCAGCATGACTCAGTAGCTGGTGTTGGTTCAAACTTCTAAAGTCAGACACCAGGCAGTTTATTTTAGGCATATTTAAATACAGTATAATTTGGAAAAAAGTTTCCTGGTGTAACACAATCCCCTGTGCACAAGCACTCACAATTACACCAGAACTCTTCTCAAAGCACCTGTCACTTCTCCCATGAAGATGTATTCTAGAGATAGGCTTCATGTATTATCTTAAGGGCCTAGGGGAGGCTCTGGTGTGGTCTCAGTCATGCAAATAGCATAGAGGTCATTTGGATTATTAGCCATCTCCAGTCCTGGTTATGGGAGCTTGGAGGAGGCCCTGGTTATAAAGATAACACAAAGGTCACTTAGATGAGTAAGTATCTCCAGTCCTGGCTGTGGGAGCTTGGGGGAGCCCCTGACCATACAGATAATGCAAAGGTCACCTAGGCTCTTAGCCACCTCCAGCCCTGCTAGTGGGAGGTTGGTATGGCCTGGTCCTACAGATAGTACAAATCTCCAGGTTATTAACCACCTCCATTCTTAGCCTTCTGTTTGGGAAAACAGGTTATACAAATCTCTCGTTGAAGGAACAGTCCTGCAGGTTTGACATTCCTGGTTTCCTTCATGCCTATCTTTGAGCACAAGGACCTTTGTGCTCCCAACAGGTCTTTGAGTGATGCAAAGACATGCCTTTATCCATCTGCTGAGAAGCCCACAAATCTGGCTTAGCCTCTACTTCCTACTTGTTCAGTGTCTAATGGGGAGCAAGAGGTAAATATTTAGAGCCTTTGTAAGTATTCCAGAGCACATGCACCATCCTGAACTTGGACATAGTTCTACAAATAAAAGTGACTTTCCAGCTTCTTGGAGATGTTTAAAGATTTTCCACATTGGCTTTTGTCTTCTTACTCACCAGCCTTTCTGTGGGTTCTTGATTCACTTGTTATCTGTACAAACATTATCATAATCACAGACAGCTGCAATGTTAAATAATTGATACTGATTATTTTTTAAAAATGCCTCCATAGAAATATCTGTTGTCACTGGAGGAACTCTGAATTGGGCCAATATAGACAATAATTTGTTTGAAGCTAGTTTCAGAATTTTATTTTTTTTAAAATTATGTGTTCTTTTCAAGAACAGTATATACTCTTAACTGCCAGGCTATCTCTCTAGCCCCAGTACAAATAATTCTTGTGAGAGATTTCCAGGGATGACAATGCCAAAGAATGGGATTAGAAAGAGCCACAGCTGTGGTCTCAGCCTGTGTCTGAGGGAGCTGCCCATTTTGTCACTGCTTTTCTGGATGGGAAAGTTTGGGAAGGTTCTTACTTAGGCATTCCCTCCCTCCCTTTGCTCTCTGTATATCACGTCTTTGTTGAGGACCCCAGTTGTTCGACCTACACATTCCCCATTTTGGATTTTGCAATTGCATTTCTGACAAAGTTCAATGTGCCTCTTGGGTGGCACCGTGGCCTTTGTGCAGGGATGCAGTGTTAGGAACTGTACGCAGTGGGATCCCCCAGATGCAGCGACAGACTGGTGGGTGGCCCAGTCCATGTGGGCACGGCGGCGGGGCGGCAGGTAGAGATACACAACCCAGATGCTGCATCTGCACGGAAATGGTTTATTATAATAGAGAGATGAAGAGGCAGGAAGGCAGAAAGAGGGAGACACACACACACACACACACACACACACACACACACACACACACACACAGAGAGAGAGAGAGAGAGAGAGAGAGAGGTTTGAGAAGTGCACACCTTGTGGGAGGAAAGCAGAAGAGAGAAGAGAGAGGAAGGGGTGGAGTTTTCCCTTAAGAATAGGCTTCTACATCAGGGCATAGGGTGGCACCAAGGGGCAGGATCAGAATATTAACATGCAGTGTTTGAATTTTGAGATTGTCTCAGGCCATATATGTGTATGCATGTACACACACATTGTGTCTGGGGCCACCAACTCCAATGAGTGCCCTTGAGCAGAGTATCCACACTTAGGATGGTACCCAATTGTGTGTGAGCATGTGTGTTTACATGGATATTCAGATTTACCTGTTCATGCTAACTGTTTTTCCAAGGTGGCTTGTTGAGCCAACTCACAGGTGGGTTTTTGTGGGCATGAATTTCTCTTGTTCTTTTATTAAATGTACAGGAGTGCTGTTGCTGGGTCATATAGCAACGGCATGTTTAATTTTGTAAGATACTAACAAACTGTTTTCCAGTTTGTGGACCTGTCCACTTCACAGTCTCACTGGCAGGATGAGGGATCTGGCGTCTATGCATACTCACCAGCATTTGGGGTTGTGACAAATGTTTATCTTAGTAATTCCAATGGGTATGCAGTATCATGTCATTGTGGCTTTAATTTGTATTTCTCTAATATCTAATGATGTTTAATATATTTTCATGGGTTTAATTTGGTATCTGTGTAAATATCTTTGGGGAAATGCCTATGTCATTTTCTAATTATACTGTTTATTTTCTTGTGGGTGTTTATATATCTGAGCAAGTGCTCATGTGGGTGAGTGTGGGCATGCACTTACCCTGGCATGTGCAAATAGGTCAGAAGATGACTTTAGCAGTGGTCCTCAACTTCCTCCTTTTTGAGGTAGGGTCCACACCACCCCAGACGGTGCCGCCTCCCTACACCAGGCTAGTTGTTAATTTTAACTCGCGGGTATTTGTCTGTCTGTACCTCTCATCAGGCTACAAGTGATCGTAGACTCGTGTGTTACAGTCAGCTTTTACACGTGTTCTGAGGATCTGAACTCAGGGCTTCATGCTTGGGCAGCAAGAACTTTTGGCTGCCAAACTCTCTCTGAATCTGTTTTCTTATTGATGAGTTCGGAGGGTTTAAAAATAGACACCCTAAATATGTGTGTCTTTTCTGATACGTGATTTTAAAATATTTTATCTTAGTATAATTTGCTTTTTTCATACTCTTCATGAGATTTTTTCTCAGAGCAAAAAAAAATCAATTTCAATGATGTCCTACTAATTAATCACTTACACATCCTTTCGTAGAGCATGCTCTTTGCATCAGGTTCACAAAACCTTTGCCCAGTCTTAGTCCCTGCATTTTCTCCTTTGCTTCCCTGAAAGTGTATCGTTTTGTGCACTATGTGAAATCTACGAGCCACTTTGAACTAAGTTTTGGAAAGATGTGAGATTCAGGCCATTGCTCAGGGCTCCTAGGAAGGACCCATGGCTCTTTGCTGAAAGCTGTCCTTTCTCCTCAGAATTGCTGCAGCCAAGAGAAGGTCTCAAAGAGCCGCGACCTGCAGAGCAGGCTCACACTGCAGTTGTTTTTCTTCTTCTTCTAGTCTTGGCTCCCTCTGGGATTTTGAGGTTTTCTGTCTGAGAATCAGGGTATTTCTCCCTTTTCTTTGATAAAAATCATTCACTGTGATTACAGAGTTAGAAACATATGGCTAAACGGGAATCTTTAGTCCACAGTTCTATGACACTTTTAAAAGGAGAAAAGGCAAAAGAAAGAGAAAATAATGGAGCAGAGAGGAAAAGAAAAAAGGGAGGAGAGGGCCTGGGCTGAGTCCTAATTAATCTCCAGGAAATTTTAACGGATACATTTAATTATAAATACGGGTACGGTGCGATTCTGATGAACGCAGACAGCATGTGTTATCAACTGAGCATAACCAGAACACCTCAGATATTCACCTGGCTGCTGGGACTGCTTTCTTGTCCGTGACTGGAGACCTCAGTTGCCCTCACAGACTCCTTGTGACAGATCACAGCTCGCAGGTCAAATGTCTTTAGGAGCCAGGTGTCCAGGTGAAAGAATCAGGAGTCTGCCTCCATGCCCCAGTGCTGAGCCGCTGGTGAGGAGATAGCTTTGCTTAGCACCAGGGGAGTGGGGGTGCCTGTGGGCTCCCTACTCAACCCACCTGGTACACCTACCTTCCAGGCTCTGGCTGTAGAAAAAGCTCTGCAGCCATAAACAGATTAGGAAAAGCTGCAGCCTGGACCTTCCAGCTGCCTCCAGCAGGGCTTGGGAGATTAGTGAGGGCATCTTTGTGTGTGTGTGGGGGGGGGTGTGGGGGGGGGGTGTGGGGGGGGTGGGTTGAAATGTCAGCTTTGGTTTAAAGGATCCTTCTAGAAGGAAAGAGAGCCACTCTCCTGGCGGTGGCACCTCCTCCAGCTTCCCTGTGTGTCCTTCCTGCTCTGAAATTCAGGCTCTTGTTCTCTTTGGGGGGATTCTCACTTGTTCTGCAAGAACTGACAGAAGGGCCTGCCCTGGTATTGCAGCCAGCTCCGTGGTGGCAGCTAATGACTAAAGGCATACTCGTGTGTCTCAGGCTAAAATGGTTGTCCATCTGGTTTACCAGACAGAGATGAAGAGCAGGCATTGAACATTCCCTGGTGTAGTGAGCTCTCCTGGAGGAGGGGTACTTGCTATGTGCCACTTGTCTTTCATCCATTTCTTCAGCTTTTCATCTGATAGCCGATAGATGGATCCATTTATTTGCTCATCTACTGAGAAGCCACTGGCCTGCCTGGCTAGGTGCAGGGAACACTTCTAATTCTCCTATCTGCTTGTCCTGTGCTTTGGAGGTGCAGGCAATGGGAGCAGCGTGAACACGCGCTACCATGTAGCCGGAGAGACGGGGCACTGCAGAACTCTGTCTTCACAGGCATGAATTCGGCTTCTGTGACACTTGCCAGCGCCCTGCAGGTCCGGGGTGAAGCTCTGTCTGAAGAGGAAATCTGGTCCCTCTTGTCACTGGCTGCTGAGCGGCTCCTGGAAGACCTCCGTAATGGTAAGAGGACAACTGTCCTGGGAAATTGAAAGTAAAGTTTCTTAAACAAACTTCCTTCTGGCAGCTTCTTGGTCTGTGATCAATCCTAAGCTTTTAGAACAAAAGAACAAATGGTCCCCACCAGGCGGCTACCGAGGGGTGGCCCGTCTCCAAGGCCTATGCCATGCAACCAAGTTGAAAGGCTGTGCTTCTGCTTTGGGCTTGCATGGTGCTTACAGAGAGACCAGTGACATCCATCCCTGGGATGTCCCCACACTCCGTCAGTCAGATGCTCTACTATTCTGTCCCATCCGAAGGCAGCACCTACACTGTGGTCTAAACAAGGGACGTTAGCTTGAAAATCACTAAACTGTAATTTGGAGATAATGAAGATGTAAGAAAATCCTATATGGACCCCTAGCCGAGGACAGGTCCCCAGTGAGGGACAAATCACTCCTTGGGTTGGGTTTTGTCCTCATGGAGGAGCTGTGTGTGTAGCTCATGATGATGAAGGTCTCTAGATGACCTGGCCAGAGGTAGTCTACAGTCATGGCCCAGCAATGAGGCAATTGTCAGGTGATGGCTCAGAGGACCTGGAAGTCAGGAGTGATCCTTTGGAATGTGAGCACGCGCAAGTGAACAGGCTGATGGTGTGTGGGCAGGAAGACTGGAGCCTGCAGCTCTATGTGGACAGGTCCATGAGAAAGTGGTCACGGGGTGAGGCCAGGACTTGAGGTATCCAAGGGCTTTCATGTCCTGTGGCTGAGTCCAGGACAGAGGTGCCCCTGCCTGGTCTTTTTGTGTTCATACCACTGGCTCCCAGACAGGGCAGGAGAGGCCCTGCTTCCTGCAAGGTCTCTGCAGTGCCTCTTCTGAGAAGAATGTTCTAGTGCTGACAACAGAGATGCTTAAAGGAGCTGGGATGGAAAGGCAATTTGGAGCTGTGAGGTGTTCTGTCGGCAGGTGAAGTAAACACAGAGAGTCTACACTTAGGTCTTGACTTAGCAGCTGCAGTCAGGGCATGTGAGAGCACGTAGGCTCCCCTGGGTGCCGGGTCCCAGCGTCAGCCAGTGGAGGCAGGCTGCACACCTGTGCCTTAGCTTCTCTTCCTCCTGAGCCCCCACTCCTGTCCCCTGCTTTGGGGGATCTGAACTACTGTAGAGCCGTGCCCTGACCCAGCTGCAATGAACTCAATTCTGCACCCGTTTCCAGCTGGTCTTGACCTTTCTTGATCTTTTACTTTAAAGTTCTTGGTCCTTGAAAGATCCAGACGCAGGTGCTAAATTCTTGTCCACAGTTACAACTATCTTTTGCAATACACATTTCTATGTGCTGGGTGGAATTTATTCTGCTCTGTGCCGCTATAGGCCTTGGTCAGAATCAGTCCTCGAAGCAAGTGCCTTCTGGCACAGTGGCCCTGTTCTTATGCTCCATCATTGCCTCATTTCCAGATTCCTCGGACTATGTGGTCTGCCCCTGGTCACTCCTGCTTTCTGCAGCTGGAAGTCTTTCTTTCCAAGACCACGTTTCTCACATAGAGGCTGCGCCATTCAAGGCTCCTGAACTGCTACGGGGACCAAATGAGGACGAGCAGCCCGAAGCATCCCAGGTAGAATGCGTAGCATCCCGCCTCCAGTACCCTGGGGAAAGCCTTTCCTGGGGGAGGCACCCCGAACTCCCTGCCCAGCGCCAGTTCTGAGGCTTAAAGCACGTTCTTTGCAGGCTTTCTTGCCAGCAATTTACCAGCTCTTGGATAAGGCAGTTCGATTTCCCTGAGCCCAAGTTTCTCAGTCAGTTAAGCGAAACAAATATAATTTTGTGGATCAAGCTTTAGCAGCACTAAACACAGTGTTGGGGGCTGGGGAGATGGCTCAGTGGTTAGAGTGCCTGCATGTAAGCTGCAGAAAGCCAGGGGTGGGGAGTGCATACCTATAATCCCAGTGCTGAAAGCCGGAGAGAGGAAGAGTCCAGGGCCTAGCTAGCCAACTAGTTTAGTCAACTGGCAAGCTCCAGGTCCAGGAAGAGATCTCAAAAAATAAAGTGGGCATGATAAAGAAAGGCACCCAGCGGTCAGTCTTTGGCCTCCACGTGTGAGTGTGTGTGTGTGTGTGTGTGTGTGTGTGTGTGTGTGTGTGTGTGTGTGCATGTGCACCACTGACACATGTATGTATACATACCACACACACAGAGAAACATAAAGAGAGGTGTTGGGGAACACTGTGGGCAAACGGTCTTCATAATGTGGCCACTGGCAACATGAAGCAAGAGCCTTCCAAAGGCCCCAGGCAGCCCTCCATAGGCGTTTATCCTCAGGCGGGCTCAGGTGGCTTTAGCTGCAGAGGTTCTTGGTAGTGTACTGTTGACGTCATCCGTGAACTAAAACAAAATGGATGGCAGTGAAGTGTGGACAGGAGAAAAGATGGCACTCATGTGAGATGCCGAAGTTTGTTTAGTGATGTGTGTGTGTGTGTGTGTGTGTGTGTGTGTGTGTGTGTGTGTGAGAGAGAGAGAGAGAGAGAGAGAGAGAGAGAGAGAGAGAGAGAGAGAGAGAGAGAGAGAGAGATCATAAAACACATATAATACATAGTGCCCTATGCTGAATGGCAGCATCAGTGGAGACTTTGGGATTTCCTCAGTGGAAAAATGCTTTCCTTCTAAACAGCAACATGTTCCAGTATTTTCAGTTAAAAGAAGAAGAACTCAAATGTCAGAGTGCTTCAAGGCAGCTGCACAGTGCTGGGTGGGCACAACCCTTCTTCCTTGGCCTTTCATGGGGAACCTGCAGATCTAGGGTGCTACTCTTCCCAGGATGACCCTGGAATGCTGCCGCTTTCCTTTGGGCTCTGAGAAGAGTCTGGGGCCTCTAAGGTTCCAGGTTTGGTTCATCAGGGTCCGTGTAGCTCCAAATGCTGCCGTAGCAATGGAAACATGGAGTACCCACTGCAATGGCTTCTGTCCTCTGGGCCTGCAACCCTCCGCAGCCGTGAGATCCCCGGATGAGCCACCGGGTCTCTGGATGGGATAGACATGGCTGCTTCTCAGACTCCTATCTGGATCTCTAGCTTCATGCCCCACCTGTCATGTTCTGGACTCACTGAACATGTCACACTGACTCTAAGCTCTGGCTTTCTACAAGGACACACCAGTGTGATATGCAAACTCAAGGGAGCAGAAAAGGGCTAGTTGCCTATAGAGAGAAGCCCCAGCCAGCAGTGGGCAAGAGGGAGGGACTGAGAGGGTAAATCCTAGCTCCTCTTTCCCCTTATGGGTGGAGTCAAAATGTGCGGTCTCTGCACACCTACTGGAGATCCCTTCTGAGATCTAGGGAGCTATGTCAGCCGTCCATCCTGTTGGGCTGTGTCGCAGCATGGTGGCTTTGTGTGCCACATTCGTCCTTGCTTTCTTTCCCCCTTTCTCCTAACTCTCGTTGCCCTGGGCTTGTAGCTTCTAAATGGAGTGTTGGCACCTAATCCTTGCCTCCGGCTCTGCTTTTTAGAGGCCTCGAGCTGAGATAGATAGTGAGTGCTGCTGGGGACTTTCCCGGGGTCCTCCAGCACTTGCTGAGAAGGCTTTACCCTCCCCAGGGTAGTTTGACTTCCATTAGTGCCTTGGGGGAGGTCTGGCCAGTCCTTTGCCTTAGCATCCAGAGCTCCCGGAGACAACCCAGCTCCCCCTGTTTACTCCTCCAGTAGAAGGGTCAGGGCCTAGGGAATTTTAGGGCTAGAAGAGGCTGAGCCCAGAGCTGGGCATATGTGCTGCTGAGAGGCTAGGTAGGAAAGAGTGAGACAGTGGTCTGGGTCACAGAGAGCCAGTGCGGGGCCGGGCTGAGTCTGATCCAAGTCTGACACTGGTTGGCTGCTTAACCCTCTATTCTGGCTGGCCTCTGAGTGCCTCCAGGAGGGGCTGAAGGCAGTGTCCTCAGCCCCTTCGGAAGAAGTGGGCAGAGTCACTTGGCCTCTTGATCTGCTACATCTGAACAGCTCTGATGACCACAGCTCTCTTCCATTCACCACACCAATTCTCCCTTCATCCAACTTGGCAGAAGGTTGTGCGGGAGATCTGGGAAGTTAGGAGCGTGAAGGTCCCAGCAGGGGCTGTACTTAGGACCCTCCCCAGCCCTGGCTGCATTCTGAGACTAACATCTTACTCCAACCAGTGCACTCAGCACCATACCCAAGGCTAGACCAGGCGCAGGGGGCAGGTGTGGGCAAGTCTCCAGCTGGGAGTCCCTTGAGCAGCCTTGCCTCAACTTATCCTCCAAGCAGGCTGTTGATATTCTTGCTCAGAGAGCCAGCAGCTGCCTTCAGAAACCTTCTTAGCCCTTTGCTTTTAGGAAGATGAATTTAGGATTTGGAATGGAGCCTACTGGGCTCAGCTTGCCTCCTAGAACATTTTTGGACAGAGCCTTGAAATCCATGAAGAGTTTTGAGAGTGAGTGGTGCCTCTGGCTGTGCCCGGGATCCCACTTCTGCTCAGGTCACTGCAGCTGTGCCCGGGATCCCACTTCTGCTCAGGGTCACTGTTGTGAAGATGCAGCTTGGGAACTTTCCCACACTGGGTCTAGGGGTGGGGCTGGATTATAGGGGTGCAATTTCAGGTAAATAAAGAGAATGATTTACAGGCACAGGTGATATTGGACTCCTCATCCCCATGATGTGGGACCTCAGACCACCTGTGTTAGTCTAACGTGGGGGGAGTTGGGTTGACTCTAGCTCTGGATGCTAAGGCAAAGGACTGGCCAGACCTCCCCCAAGGCACTCTCTGAAAGCCAGACTACTCTGGGGAGGGTGAAGCCTGGGGAGGACACTGGAAAGTCCTCAGCAGCACTCAGTAACCAGGGGTTTAACACACAGTTTGTTACTTCAGGGGCTTCTCTTGCACAGTTCTCAAAGTATTTTCCTGAGAAGGATCTTCAAAAATTTGTCTCCTACAATGAAAGCCCCCCCGGCATCAACAAAAGACTTTAATTCATCTGAAGGCCATAGCTATGGGGCTCAGGGCACCAGCTCTAGGGCTTAGATTCAATCTCATGTTTGGGTCTTATTTAGGCAAATTCTGTAGTTTCTCCCTTTCTTTGCTCTGGTTTCCTCTTATCTAAAATGGGGACAATTACAATCCTGCCTCAGAGGGTTGTTGTGAAGACCAAATACATTCAAATAAGCAAAAGGCTTACCATAGGGCTTGGCCTGATGATAATGACCACCCCCAAGTGCTTTTGTACTCCATCTTTAGGAGGGTTTGGGCAGAGGACTCACTTTTAAAATCCTGGAGCTTCAGAGAAGTCGGACCACGCTCTTCCTGTTGCACGGTGTCATTTTCTGACAAGATACAGGGCTTTGCAGTAAGACTGACCCAGAGGGTGGAGTGGCTGGCTGGCTCTGGTTACAGGAAACAGAAAGTCTGAGCTACAACAGCCAGAGCCACAGGTAGTCATTAGTTACTTAGGGAGCAATTTAGCTATGGGTAGTAGCAGCACCTCAATGATATCAGCAAGGATTCAGGGTATATATTTCTATTCTAGTCCCTGTGCTTATCTCCGCAGGGTTGCAAGATGGCTGCTGTGACTCCACATGCCATATGGTATTGCAGGTAGAAACAGCAGGGCAAGTGTGGGCCCAGTCACATGCTTTTGTTTTTGTTTTAATAAAGCAAAAGTTTCATTTTGTTTTGTTTTGTTTTTTTCTTCCAGAAGCACCCTAACAGATGTTCCTTCTTATTTTTCACCAAACTGGGAGTCATAGTTACAGCTAGAAAACGAATTTCTAGCCTGCAGCGTGGGAGGCAGTGAGGGTTAAGGAGGTGCAGATGGTGCCGGGCTAGCCGGATATCCACCCCTTGCTTGCGGAGACTGTGCTGGGCTTCGCGTGCAGGGCTGTGGAGTCACATGCCTGACTTCTAACCATGTGCTTTTCTCTTGGGCAGATGCATGTCTATTCCCTAGGGATGACTCTCTACTGGTCAGCAGGGTTTCGTGTTCCACCAAACCAGGTCTGTAACAAGAATGCCTCACAAATTACCAGGTCATCCCTCTGGATTAGCTTAGGAGCTCTCCCTTAGGCTGGACCACATTCATTAAGTGTGGCTGTCACCACCCTTCTGTGCAAAGCTTTCTACAGGTTTTGCCAGCCGATTGCACAGCTCCTTTCCCCGAGTCCATGAACAACTGCAGCGTCTCCTTAAACACTCCGAGCAGACGCAAGTGGAAACGGGCAGTGAAGATTCACTTGTCCTCTCTGACCACAGGAAGTGGCAAACTAGAGGACTTCATATACAACCAAGACAGTTATTTGTGTATTCTCCCAAATGTTTTTAGAATTGGCCCTCCCTGAAGTGAACTGCTGCCCTGAGAAAGGGGTTCTGTGCTCAGTAATTGAGATCAAATGCACCCTGCAATGTCTCCTCAGGAAGAGGTTCACACTAGCTTGTTCCTGACTATGGCAAGCCTCAAGACACAGAAGCTTTATGGAGCAAAGCATGTTGCACAGTTCGACTGATGAGCGTATGCACTGTGTGAATGCACACATTCGTATATATGCCTGTGTGTGTGTGTGTGCATGCACACACATGCGCGTGCATCTATGTATGTGTGTGACTGCATATTTTCATCTGACATCATAAGAATCCTTTAAACACTGGGGCTATAAGAAGCATTGCTGAACCTGGCCATGAAACCCTCCCCTGCCTCACCAAGCCCCTCTCTTTCTCCCTGCCTCCCTTCCTCACTTTCTCCCCATCTCTTAAGCAGAAAACTATTTACAACTCACCCTGCTTGAGGTGAGACCCCCACTGCTACCTACTGCCCATGGTTATATTCGAGCATCTCACCAGGACACACGGATTCCAGAATTTGGCCCCTGCTGCTGTCGGCTGGGTCTCTGACATCCCAGGGCTTGTCTTAGGGGTGTGTGACTTGCAATCCTGTGCCTGACTTAATGCTCTGTCATCCTCATCTTGTACCCAGTACTTTGGGGCCCCACACTGTCGTTCTGTCACGGCCCCTTCTGTAGCCCTTTCCTTTCAGACTCACACACCAGCTCTCTTCTCCCAGCTCACCGGCACCTCTTCCTCTGTGCACATGCACAGCACAAGCTCATTCTGTCTTCCCAAACCCCTGCTGCTGTTTGAGGTCGGCCTGGGTCAGGCTTTTGTCTGTATACTTGTGGGGTCCCATGCTTGCTGAGGTCAAGTCCTTGCCATCTTTAAGGCAATGAGGATGAAGAGCAGCTGTGCTGGACACAACCCTTAGTGAGCTGTGAAAATAGTCGACACAGTGGCCTGGCTGCTGTGAAGACAGGCTCCTGAGAGCATGAAGAGACTGCTTGTACAAGACTACTTTTCCTTTGGCCTGGTGTCTGTGTGGTGTAGAGTTCTACCAAGAGTGACTGTGACTGAGCCCTTGCCTGCTGCTCATGGCTCTGCATGAAAGGCCACTTCAATTTACAGGTCTGATTCCCTTGCACTCATGTTCCAGGGGGAAGTCCTCATGAGATAATTGCCCCCCCCCCCCCCAATCAGGTAAGTATAGGAAGCACTAGGCTACCAGGTCAATGTAATGGTGTGTGTGTGTGTGTGTGTGTGTGTGTGTGTGTGTGTGTGTGTGTGTTCTAGTGGTGATGAGTGTGTTTCCTGGAGTCTCTGGGGCATGTGGGTCTTGGTGCCCTGTCTTGTTAGGGTTTCTATTGCTGTAAAGAGACATCATGACCATGGCCACTCTTATAAAGGAAACATTTAATTGTGGTGGCTCACTTACAATTCAGAGGTCCAGTCCATCATGGCAGGGAGCATGGTGACATGCGGGCAGGCATGGTGATGGAGAAATAGCTGAGTGTCCTACATCTTGCAGGCAACAGGAAGTCAACTATGATACCTAGGAAAACTCGAGAAAAAGAAACCTCAAGGCCCGCCTCCACAGTGAACACACTTCCTCCAATAAGGTCACACCTATTCCAACAAAGCCACCCCTCCTCATAGTGCCACTCCCTTTGGGGGCCGTATTCTTTCAGACCCCCACAGTGCCCGGCAGCGCTTCTCACCAGTGTGTGCTCTGCAGCCCCTGCAGCTTCGAGAACCCGTACACGCCCTCCTGCTGGCCATGTGTGAAGACCAACCTCGAAGACGGCGGCCACTGCAGGCCATTCTGGAAGCCTGCCGGGTTCGTCAGGAAGAAGTGGCGGTGTACCCAGCCCCTGCCAGTCTCCACGTCAGCCGGCTGGTGGGCTTGGTGCTGGGCACCATCTCCGAGGTCAGTTATAGAACCCATCTTTCCCGCTGGGGAGCCACCAGCCGTGTGTAGCTATTGGAATTTAAATCAGCCAAATTTTAATTAAAAGGAAATTCAATAAAAAATTCAGGGGCTCCGTGTTAGATGTCTGGCAGATGCCCATGAGGAGTTAGTTAGCCTGGCAGGTAGCTTGCTTGTGTTGGTATCAATGTACCTGTCTGACCTGGTTGCTAATACGCGTTTCCATCAATCTCTTCTACCCAGGTGGAGAGAAGAGTTGTAGAGGAAGGTGCCTGTGAGCAGCAGAGCAGAAGCTACTTTCTCAGGAGCAAGCTGCATCGGGCTGGCAGTGAGAGCCCTGGTGCTCGGGCCTCTGATGGTCTGCAGCCTCGAAGAAGTGAGTGAAGGCTCGGAGCAGTCCCGTTCAGGCAGAGGGTACTCAGAGTGACCATTCCATTGTCTCCTGCTCTGAGTGTGGACATCCCTGCTGTGTACACAGAGAGCTCCCATGCAAGTGCTACTCTCCCAGGAAGTGCTAAGGGCCCTGGCTATGGCCACTGTGCCTAGTAAAGTTTCAACAGTTGAATAGAGTTAATTATATTAAATACCAGCTGTTTAAATTGGAGTCTAGTTTATCCAAATTGATGAGAACAAGTTAGAAAAAGCAAGAAAAAAGTTTTATTTTATTTTATGCATGAGTGTTTTATCTGTTTACCATGTGCATACCTGATGCCTGTGGAGGCCAGAAGAATGCATCCGATCCCCTGTAACTGGGGTTTCAGATGGTTATGAACCCCCATGTAGGTGCTGGGAACTCAACTCGGGGCCCCCAGAAGAGCAGCCAGTGCTCTTAACCACTGAGCCATCTCTCCAGCCCCCAAACAGAAAAAGGTTTTAAAAATAACCTTCTAAGTGGAACGACACACAAATAAGTCATAAAGAGCTGTTTTGTTTGTTTGTTTTTACTCGAAGTGTGCTGAGAGAGTGGCTTTTCCATTAACCTTTATGTGCCTTTATCTGCTTCTCAGCTATCTGAACTTGAGTTAGTTGTACTTCCTTTTCTTGTTGTGATGAGGAAAAAAACAGACAAAAGCACCCGGAGGAGGCAGGGTTCGGTTGTGTTCACAGTTTGAGGACATAGTCCACGATGTAGGAAGGCATGGCGGGAGGAGTGACAGGCAGCTGGTCACAGGGCATCCGCAGTCAGGAAGCAGAGAGCATTGGATGCTGGTTCTCGGCTCGCTCTCTTCTTTTCATTCGTCTGGGAACCCAGCCCGTAGAATGGTGTGACTCATAGTTAGGGCTGATCTTCCCATCTCAATTACACCGACAGCAGAAAGTCTCTTAAGACATGCCCAGAGGTTTCATTCCAGATCTCGTCAAGCTGATCAATATTTACCATTGTACCCTATTTATTTACTTATTCATTTTGAAACAGAATCTCGTAATACAGCCTAGAACTCTTGATCCTCCTGTCTCAACCTCTGAGGACTGAGATCACAGGTGTGCACCACCAAGCCTAATTTTATGTGTTTGTTTTTCCTGAAAGTTGCTCATTGTTCCTAAATCAAGGAACTACTTAGCCTTTTGTCGTTAGGCTTACCCCCACCCCCAACACTCTTCTCACCTCCCTACTTTTGGGATTGTCATTTCCATTTGCACTGTGAGAATACAGACTCAGAGATGGTTAGTGATTTCACCAAGGGCGCACAGCTGATGAGTTGTGGCGGTATCCACACTCCGGGCTGCTTACCCTCCAAAGCCAAGCTGTTTGTTTGCACTTCCCCTACCCACCATACTGTTTGGTTAGTTTCAGAGAGAAGCACAGAGACACAGAGCTCCTCGGAGCGACGCGGGAGCACCACAGCACACAGTCGGTGCAGCTTCGTTAATGGGTGAGTCTCCTGCTCTCGAGCACTGTGAACTTGGTGTGGGAGTCTACACACCCTGACTCTTTGCTGATTAGTGATGAGAAGCCCATTTGTCAGAAAATGACATTAGTGAAAAGCCAAGGTATGCGTTGTTTGCTGGCAACAGTCTGGTCAGGAACCCCATATCTCCCGGGAATCCCGTTCCGGCCCAGAGATGGAACAACCCGGGCACTGGTATTTTAGCCGCGATCCCTAGGCACACCCTGCCTGCTACACAGCAAACAACCCCAAAGCACAGTGGCTACGGGCCACAGTCACCCAGAGCTCATGCCTGGGGCTTGCTGATTTCATCAGGGATTAGTCAGAATTCCTGGCCTCTCTGGTCATCTTCTGCATCTGTGACCAGCTGAGTCACTGACTGTGGAGGCTTCACTCCTGGGGAGTGGGTTTGTTACCCCAGCATCCCCATGAGTCCCTGACATGCTGTGCACGCTGTGATGACTTCAGCCTCTCTAGGTGGCTGGAGTTTGCTAGCTTCATTGTGTCACAGGACCCCTGTTGCACACACAGTTGGTCTGCTGTTGGCCAAAGCACCAGTAGGTGGTACGTGGACTGTTTATTGTCAAAACAGTTTGAATATCTCAAATTTCAAAAACAAAGTCAGAGCCATGATCTATTTAGGGAATATTGGGACCTTGGAGTCAGGGTGAACACAGAGGCAGAATCCTGGGGTGGCAGAGGAGGGGTATGTGTGGTCTTATACCTTAAGAAGTTCCCCAGCCTGTGGTTGTATAGTCTTAACCTCTGCGGGTCTCAGCTTCAACAGTGGAAGATGCTGTGTTCTCTCTCATGATGTGGGAAATAACAGGAGGTGGCAGCTGAGTCCGACGGCTACATCATCAAGTGCTTTATCCTTCCTCACTCTTGGCCAGTGCTTTTGCAGGTGCGGGTCCCTGTGACTGTGAGGAAGGCCTGCAGTGTGGCTCAGGGCCTATACTCTTGGCGGAAGCAGAAAGCTCACAGCCAGCAACATCTTCTCCAAGGAATTTCCTACAAAGAAAGGGAAAGGTGAGCAAGGAGGTCCGGAGCTGGGGGACACTGTCAAGAGTGGTCCCAGCTGGGACCTGTAACACAGAGGGAGGATACAGGCAGGGGCTTCAGTGCTCAGAGACCCTGGGCTGGGGCTCATAGACCTGTGCTGACAGAAACCTGAACCTGGCCAACTGAAGCTGGGTATCATCCATCCCTCTCCCTGACCCCTGGACTGGCTGTACAGTAGATGCTGTTTAGGATGTGAGGTCTGTTTCAGGCCGACCTCTCCTGAAGTTTGAGGCTCTGTGTGTGGAACAATAGCCCGGTGTGGCATGTAAGAGAGATGACCAGACAGAGTGCACTTGTGAGAGGCCTTTTGGACAGACAAAATGCAGGGGCATGTCTGGGATTGCAAAGTGGCTTAGCTAGGAAGAAGTTCTCCTTTCTTGTTGGCAAGTGTGTGTGTGTGTGTGTGTGTGTGTGTGTGTGTGTGTGTGTGTGTGTGTGTGTGTGTGTGTTTGTTAGGATTGGAAAAATCTGGAGGACTGGAGACCAGAGAGCAACCACACCAACTCACCCAGCCTTGAAGGCCCAGTTAACAGGACATACAGACAGGGAGTGGCCCCTGTGGTCTATTTATACCTCCTGTGGATTTTTCATAGGCAGATAGAAGAACTCTGCTGAGGTCAGTTCTAGGTTCATATTCAATTGCTCACCACCTTTTTTTTTTTTTTTTTTTGAGGCAGGGTCTCTCATCGGACCTGGAACTCACCAAATTCCGTTAGACTGCCCCTGTCCTCATCTCCCCAGTGCTGGGATTATAGGTGTAACTCCACTGTGCCTGGCTTGTACACGAGCTCTGGGGGATTGAACTCAGGTCCTCATGCTTGCCCTTGGCACTTTACCGACTGAAGATCTCCTCAGTCCTCGATTTCTTTTAAGTTTTTGTTGTTGTTGTTGTTTTGTTTTATTTTTGGTTTTTGTTTTTGAGATAGGGTCTTACTCTGTAGCTCATCACATTTCCGATGCTCCTCCCTCAACCTCCTGAGTACCGAGGTTACAGGCGTGTTTGCCTCTAGACCCAGCTTGTTTTAGGCTTTTGATACACATGAATAGTATGTACAGCTGGGTAAATGTTAACCTCTAACGACACATCCAGGTAGAGCCAGCATGCTGTCAGTCTCCTACACCTCTCGGCTGAGGTGGACAGCAGCAGGGGTCTCTGCTCGTCATCTCTGTCTTGCCGAAAGCTGACAAGGGCTTTTTTGAGGGGTACCGGGCGGCAGAGGGCTGCGGAAGGCGGAGATGAGCTCCAAAGCCTGGGACCCCTTCTTTCTTCCATCTTTGGTTATTCTGGATGTTTTTCTCAGTTCTCCAGACCAGAGTTCATTCTGTTGGCTGGCGAGGCCCCGGTGACCCTACATTTGCCTGGATCCATTGTGGTAACTACGGCTTAGCCTGGGTGGGATGGGAAGGAATCCTCAAGTCGAACAAACTCAGGCTGACTGGGTCTTTCCAGGGGACGTCTTGGTAGTCTCCCTGCTCTAGGTCCTTCTCCCATGAGCCCTCATGTCTCTCTCCCTCTCTTCCTCCTATTTCTGCTCATGCTGCCTTCTCAAAGCTGATTAAAGATTAGCGTTCTCCTTTCCATCCACTTCGGCTTCTCCATCTCTCCCGTCCCTTCAGACCCCTGCCAGGGCGTGGCCACGCTACTCCTGCCTCTCCTTCTCCACTCCGAGAGGAGCTCCTTGTGGCCTCCAGTTCTGTCCTCACCCCTAATCTCAGCTCAGCCCCCATCTCCTCCCTCAGCACAAATGCCAGAAGCATCTCCACGGACTAGGTGCTCTGCCAGGTCCCACTCTATGCTTGGGTGAACAAAGTCCTTTCGTGTGAGGCCTACGGTCTGGCAGGAGGAGGAAAAGAGAGACAAAAGCATAACAGAAAAGCAGGCCAGGTAGCGCTTTGTGCTTTGAAAACATTGAGAAGACATGTAAGGATGGAGGAGGGTAGAAGATGACAGGTGAGGATGGGGACGGGACTCCAAGGAGACAGGAATGGAGGGAGAGAGACAGGGGGATTGTAGGAAAAGGGTCTGGCAGAGGGAGAGCACTATCTGGGGGTGCTACCCAGCTCAGCCAAACACATGGCCTCATGCTTCATGCCCAGCTTGGGGGCGTGAGGTTCTCAGCTAATGTTGAGCATTTGGGAAGACGACCTTCCCATTTTTCCATGCTCCTAGAGCCAAGAGGCCTGTCTGGCCAACCCTGTCTGGCTGGGCTGCCTTTTGGCTTTAGGTCTTTTGGAGGCAGGGCTGTGGGAAGCCTGGGCTGGTGTCTTTCTTTTCCCAGGTTCCTATGCCATCCCTATGCCTGTCTTCTCTGTAGCTCAGAGCAATGTAAATAAACACTAGAAAACCCCCTCTGGCTCAGTCAGGGGTGCATGACTCATGGATGAATCTGAAGGAAAATTGGGGAAAGATATGGATCTTATCTCCCCACATTGCAGACCTCATAGGTTCTTCAGAGAGCTCAGACTTGGGTCTGGCTTCTCCCTCTTACCAACTGTGCAACCCTGGGAAGGCCCCTCATTGTCTCTAAGCCTCAGTTTCTCATCTGATAATGGGAAGCAAAACTATACTCCTTTCCTAGTAGGTAGACAATTAAATGAGGTAATCCATGGGACATGCTTAGCCTAGTTAAGACCAACCCAGGTTAAAGACTCATAGTCTTATCTTAATTGTGGTCATTGGTACTATTATTGTTTTCAGACCAAAAAAGGGAAATCCTACTTGGCTCTCAGAGACCTCTGTGTGGTCTTGCTGAGTGGACAGTGTCTGGAGGTGAAGTGTGACATGGAGTCCACAGCAGGAGTTGTCTTCAATGCTGTCATGTCCTTCATCAACCTTGAAGAGACCACCTACTTCGGTTTGGCTTATGTGAAAGGTAGGCGTTTGCTGGGGACATTATTGACATGAACTTCTGGGAACCCAGGCACATGGGTACCTGGTCTCTGTTCCTCCTGAAAAATTACTTGATCCTGGGACGCCTAACCTTGTTTACCTCAGCACAAGTTATCACAGAGGGTGCTCTGGGTACCTGTGTGAAAAGCGTCAAGTGAGCACAGATTGCCATGAAAGCGTCGGGGTAGGATATGGGTTTGTGGTTTACTGATCAGTTATATCGCTCTGAAGTTAGACAAACAAATATTAAAAACATTTGTAAATTATCTGAGGTGCTGCTGGCATTGTGCACCTTGGCCTCCAAGAACCCAAGTTAATCGTTCCCCAGAGAATGGTTTTCAAACATTTTTTTCCCAAGTTTCTCTTTCCATGAAAGGCCTTTCCCCCTCCTCTCCTGCAAGTACTCCTGTATGGTAGATGGAGTCCCTCAACCTCAGTGTAGAGTGCAGAATGAAGAGGCTGAGAAGATTTCATGGGACTTCAATCTGAGCTCCAGGCCTCATCTGGGAGGTATTAGAGTCTTGGTGTTCCTCATTCTCCATTTTCTAAAGAGGGGCTTGTGAGCTCTTAGTGTGTCACAGTGGGGCTGGTGGCAGTGTCCTTGTTTCCACAGAGTTCTCATCAGACCCCACCCCCCACCGCCACAAGGACACCACTTCCAAATAGAAAGAACAGCCATTCTGTATTGTGATGTAGGTCATAATCAGTGGAGTTTAAATTTTGTAACATACAAATGGAAGCACTTTTTAGGAAGAATTTTATTCTTTTTAAGTGCCTGCTGAGTACCAAAAACTATTCAAATCACTTTATTTAAAAAATGCATTTTAATTAAAATATAGTTATATCACTTTTCCCCTCCCACTCCTCCCTCCAACCCCTCCCATGCCCCGTCTCTCAAATTTATGACCTCTTATTCATTAATTATTATTGTCACATGCACATGCTTGCACCCCCCCCACACACACACATAACCTGCTGAGTCTGTTAGTATTTAGTGTTGCTTGTATGTATATGTTTTCAGGGATGACACTTGGTATTGGATAACTAATTAGAGTGCTCATCTCTGGGGAAAACTAATTGTCCCTTCTCTCTCAATAGTCATTAGTTGCCTGTAGCTTTTCGTCTAGGGTTAGAGCCCTGTGAAATTTCCCCTATCCATGTTGGTATGCCAATTGGCATTGCCACTATTCTAATCTTATTTAGTCAGCTATACTATTTAGATTTCATGGGCGTGGCTTTCCTGCCGTATCCAGAAGACATAACCTTACTGCAGACTTTCTGATCTCCTGGCTCTCACAGTCCTTCTGCTCCCTCCTCTACCATGATCCTGGAGCTTTAGGTGCAGGAGTTGTGTTGTAGACATACCAGTTGGGGTTGAGTGCTCCATGGTCAGTTGTTCTCTGCATTTGGACCAGTAGTGGCTTTCTGGAATGGTCTCTGTCTTCTGTAAAAGAAGCAGTCTTTGATGAGGGTGCAAGCTGCACTTTCTGCCTGGGTAGCCCACAGAAGACGTGGCATTTTATTTATTTGCAATGTATAATCCAAGTAAAAGTCAGGCTTGAGAGACAGCTCAATTGGGAAAGTGCCTGTCTTGTAAGCAGGACGACTTGAGTTTGATTCCCAGGACTCATGTACAAAGGAAATCTGAGTGTAATGGTGTCTCATTGTAATCCCAGTGCTGGGGAGGCAGAGACGGGCAGATCTCTGGGGCTTGCTGGCCTGCCAGTATAACCTACCTGGGGAGTTACAGGCCAGCTAGAGTCCCTGTCTCAATAAAAAAAAATGGTGGGTGGTGTTGGAGTAATGGCATCCAAGATCGTCCTCTGGTCTCCACAGGCACATGTATGTGAATGCTCTCATATATACGCCAACGTGTACATATATGCTCAAAACTCTAAATGGACAAATAAGTAAAATCTAGGTGAGCACAACCTCTACCCTCCAATCAAGGAGATACTTGTAAACCCTTCTCATGGGAATGATTCTTGGATTTCTGGAGCTGCTTAGGGAGGGGCCTCCTGGAGAAATCATGAATCTAGATAGAGACCATCTTGGGAGGGTTTGCCAGCCAGATTGTGTTGGGAACTCATCCACCCCTTGGAGAGAATCCATCTTAAGGGAAAGTCAGTATGGTGTGGGGAGCCAAATTCAGCAGCAAGGGTGGAGGGCTGGGGGTGTTGGGTGATGGCCATTAGAAGTACCTGGACACCTACCTACCTTTGCACACATACCTCCCCAGGCAGCAAAGGCTGGATGCTAATTTTAAAGCCCTGCCTTGTAACTGTGGTGGGAGCTCACTCTAGACAAGTCACTGTCCTACACACTGAAGTGGGAGGGTGGAGCACAGGAGCAGACAGCTTAGGATATGCAGAGTGTCAGAGAGGGGCAGACCTGCAGAAATCCCGGGAGTAGCCTATGATGCTCAGTCTGGTTGAGAACAGCTTTCAAGGGAGCAGAGGGATGGGGGCAGTGTATTCAGAGGTTCCGACTGATCTAACCTTCTCCTAGATGGGCTGGAGGATCAACTCTGCAAGAGTTGAAGACCCGAGCTTGCAAATGAGATAGTTATTATCAAGGACTTGGTCCTTTCGGGCTGTCACTACCAAGTGCTGTAGCTGGGTGGCTTAAACAGTCGCCTTTCCACCCTCAAAGTTGGAATCTTCAAGTCTAAGATCAAAGTGTCAGCTGTTTTATTCTTGGTATAGGGATCTGCCTTCTGTCTCACAGAGGAAATCCTTCTCCCTGAATCCTCACATGGCAGAGAGAAAGAATGAAGAAGGGGGGAAAGGAGAGCCAGATACACACATAGCAAGGGAGAGGAGGAGGAGGAGCAGCAAGGGAGGGAGAGGAAGAGAGAAATTCAGTTATAAACACCATTGCACTGCATGTTTGGGTTCACTGGGTGAGGGAGGAGCATGCACACATTTAGTAGGTAATGTGTCTGTGACTGGGAGGAGCAAGACGGTTCAATCGATGCAGAAAGACCTGACATGTGGCAGGGACTCCATTCCTTTGTCATATGATGACAGCAGGAAAGCAGATGCTAAGTGACAGCTCTTCATCATAAATGCAGTTGTCACTCAGCATCCACGGGAATCGGATTCTAGGACCCCAGCAGACACCCAAGTCCACAGAAGTGCATATATATATATATATATATATATATATATATATATATATATATATATAAAACGAGGCGGTGTATGCATGCACTTTGTGCACTCTCTTGTGTGTCTCCAGAGTACTCAAATCAGTGTGAACGCTATCTACACGGGTGCCACACTGTATCGTAGAGGGGACACTGACAGAAAGGTCTGTACATATTTAGTACATGTAAAGTAAGTATTTCAATATGTGGTTGGTTGAATCTGCAGACACAGACTGTGCATATGGAGAGCTAGCTGGCTGTGACTATGTTTCTTCTTGATCATTTTCCTTTGTCTCCTCTCAGCTCCTATGGCCTGTGCAGGAGTCCCTTGTTACCAGATACTGAAGGGACCAATGCAGCTTGCACCCCACCCCTCTGGGGAGAGCCCAAGGGATGAGTCTGAGGGTGGGGCACTCCCTATCATTCTTCCTCCAAACTCTATTTCCATCTCAGGTGAAGAGTTCTTTTTCCTGGACAAGGACACCAGATTGTGCAAAGTCGCCCCAGAAGGCTGGAGAGAACAGCACCCGAAAGGTTCCATGGATACTTTGACTCTCTTCCTGAGGATAAAGTTCTTTGTCAGTCACTATGGGCTGCTCCGGTGAGTGCCGCAGCCTGTTCCTAGGATCATTAAAGGTAACTGGCATTATGGGTAGGGGATAGGTAGAGTCCTGGAGAATGATATATTGCATATAAAGGTCAATTTCTGTCCATGGGGTTCTGATGAATCAAGAGGAAAACTAGTCTTTTAGGGTGGGCCCTGATCAAAATGAGAAGTCATTCCCTGTATTTCAAACATAGTCCACTCAACATCAGGTTCTCTTTTCCCTAAATCCCTGCCAGGTACAGCTCCACAGCTCAGGGTTCCAGGGGAATGCATTGGCTTTGAAGTCAGCTCACCATCTCTGTTTTCTGCTGCTTACTAGTGACACCACCTAACTGAACATCAGTTTCATGTCTTGAACTACATCCCTATGGGTGTTAGGTGAAGTATCTGGTATAGAGAAGCCCCGTCAGGAGGAAGGGGCATGGTGTGGGTGGAGGAGCCCACACTAGTCTCTCTGGTTCTATTCTCTGGGTTCTGCTGGGTTGTATCCATTTCCCCAGACTGCGAAGCCCTCCAGTGTAGCCCTCTCCCGACTCTCAAGCTGTCCTTATTCCTGTGTTTCTCTGCTAGGCACAGCCTGACAAGGCATCAGTTTTACCTGCAGCTTCGGAAAGACGTTTTAGAGGAGCGGCTGTACTGCAGTGAGGAGACACTGCTGCAGCTGGGGGTGCTTGCCCTGCAGGCTGAGTTCGGCAGTGCTCCTAAGGAGGTAGGGGTGCTACCTGGGCTCGTAAGGAGGTAGGGGTGCTACCTGGGGTCTTTGGGTGGGATCACTGGAAAGACGACTTTGGGAGGAGGAGGTTGTTAGGAGTAGAGAGAGAGGCTTTGCTTCTGAAGTGTCGTTAGCATCTATCACTGAGATTGGGGTAAACTGTATCCATCCATCCACCCACCTACCCATCTACCTACCCCGCCATTTATTAAACAAGCATTCATTGAATACTTTTCCTATGTTCTGGGGTATATATATATATATATATATATATATATATATATATATATATATATATATATATATATATATATATACTAAGTTCAGACATTGTAATGTAATTCCAATCCAGCACACCCCTCTTTATATCAGTCAGTTTGTGCTACTACAATGAAATACCCAACACAGTTAATTTACGAAAGAGAAAAGGTTGTAGGTTTAGAAGCTCAAAGTTCAAGATTGGGCCACCCCATTGGTTTGGCCTCTGATGAGGGTGCTAGGTAGCAATTACCTCACAGTGGGAATACATGTTGGGGGGAACTCATGATGCCAAATAGGAATTCAGAGGGAGAGAGGATAAGATCCCATGGTCCCTCCTGAAGGAAAGCCTCCAATGATTTAAGGACCCCCATTAGCTCTTCCATGAGAACTCCATCATTTTCCAATAGAACCACACTTGAGATCAAGGCTATGTACACTGGACCCTTTGGGGATCACTCAGACCAGAGCGAAACCATAGTAATGTACACACTTACTGAGTTTTTATCACCACCAACACCAATATCAATAACCAATCTTTATTAAGAGATCACTCTATCTGCCATCGACCAAAACATCTAGCTCACATAAACATTGCAAAGTTAACATCACTTCTTCTAGACAGACAATCTGTAAAGGTATGGATTTAAAGGGCAGATGAGGTAGTGGAGGGGGATTTGGGAGGAGTTAGGGGAGGGAAACTGTAATCAGAATATATTGTATGAAAAAAATCTATCTTCAATAAAAAGATGTCAATAAACTTTATTTTTAAGGGCAGTGTTAGCTTTACAGTAAGATTAAGTGAAAGATACAGAGATTTCTTGTCTCCTATTTATAGTCTCCCCCCACAAACAATATAACCCTCCTGCTATATTTGTTACACTCAACTGACCTGTCCTATCATCTAGACTGACACACTGCTATCATCTAGAATCCATCGTTGCGCTTGATTTTCTGTGCATGGGCACTTCAGACAGTGTTAGGGGAGTGCACTAGATTTCCATCACTGTAACAAAATACCTGTGGCCATCAACTTATGAGGAGGAAAGATCTATTTGGCTCACGGCTTCAGAGGTTCTCATCCATGGTCATTGGCTCTGTCACTTTGGGATGTGGTGGCACCGTAAATCATGATAGAAGGGAAGACAAAGGCTGCTCACCACAAGGCAAACAGGAGGGATAGGAGAGGAGACTGGGGTCCCAATCTCTCAAGGGAGTGCCTTTAGTGACTCAACTTCTCTCATGTGGCTACCTCTTAAAGGTCCTATTTCCGTCTAATATTACCAAGGGCTTTGAAGTCACAAGGCCTTCAGCAGATATTTAACATTCTAACTACAGTCAGGAGGCTTCCAAAGGGACAGCCCTCTCTGTGTTGTTAGTGGGCAGGAGGAAGAGGCTTCAGGTGTGTCATGGGGTGATGAGGCTGGGTAGGTGGTACGTGTCACACTTGGGAGAACTTAGTATGCCTTGCTAAGGGGCTTGGATTTTGTTTGAGACGTGCTTCTGGTGGTGGAGGAAGAACTGAAAAGCACTGCTGTGAAAGATGGGAGCCCCTGCAAAATTCTGAGCAGGGAAGTAACATGATTACATTTGCATTTTAAAGACGGAGACAAAGGCAATTTGGTATAAAAATAAATCTCCTTAATCGCACCATCACAGCAGAACAATATTCCATGGGCACAGACTCTTCCAGCCTGATCACATGTGGAGATTTTATAGTCGTAGATATGGCTGCACTCCATCTGGCACTCTCTCTTGTCATGACCTGTGGCCTTCCTGAGGATGCCATGGAGCTGGAGTGCTTGCATGTTATGACTCCATGGGACTGGCACTTCCTTCACATGTCCCATCCCTTCTGCTGGGCATTCCCTGATAGTGCCATGTAAGTGATAATTATGATTATTGTCACACCAGTTACACCTAAGCGTTCTCTTTTACAAATGCCACATAGATAAAAAAAAAAGTTCTTGTGCCTGGACCTTTCTAGGTCTGTGTTGACTTCTTCTCTTAGGTATGTTCTTAGCAAGAAATGCCAGGATAAAGATCCTATATGCCCCTTTTCCCTCCCTAAATGTTTCAGTAAACTTTGTTTTTCAGGACACCCATTAGTCAACTTTCTGTCACTGTGACAGAATACCCTAGATAATCCACTTAAAGGAGGGAAGCTTCATTTTGACTTCACAGGTCTTGGCGCATGTTTGCAGACTCCCTCATGTTAGGTAGGCCGAGTTGAGGCGGCAAACCTCAGGAGTAGAGCAGAGCAAAACTCATGGTGGATCATGGTAGCCAGGAAGCAAAACAGCAGAATGAGAGGACGGGGCTTGGGTCCCAGCAGCAACATTAAGGAAAGAACTCAACTCACTCCCTTCCACTGGATCCCACTTCCTGAGGGTTCTCCAAACAGTGCCACTTGCTCATGACAGCCTTTAGCATATGGACCTTTGGGGGACTTACGATCCAAACCACAACAGAGCAGTTAGGTTTACAGCAAAGCTGAACGTCAGGTGGGAAGGTGAGAGATTTGCTGTGTCCCTCACCTCACAGTGTCCCCTGGTGAACAATATAATCTCATACCAGAAGGGCCATTTGTTACAACTGATGATTCGATGATCGTCGTCCCCAGAGTACTTGGTTAACGGAGGGGTTCACTCCTGGTGTCATATAGTCTATGGGTTTTGACAAATATGTGATGACATGAATCACTATATATAATGTCACACAGAGTGGTCTCATTGCTCTAGAAATCATCAGCACTCCCCTCATCAGTGTTCTGCCTGTCTGTCCCCTGGCAACCCCTCATCTCTTCACCATGTCTGTAGCAGGAGAGCTCATATTTGGAGATGGTAGGCAACCTTTCATATAGGTTTATGCCACTTAGTAACATAGACTTAAGCACCGTCACATCTTTTCCTTGTTGGCTCATTTAGTTTTTAGTGCTGACTAGTCCGCCATTGGCCAGATGTACCATTGTTTTTTCCACTCACTCCCTGCACAGCTTTTGCTTCTAAGGTTTGGCAATTAGGAGGAAAGCCGCTATTAACAACCATGTGCAGTGACTGATTTATTTTCAGTGCTGGCCATCTAACCCAGGGCCTCCTACAAGCTAGGCAAGCACTCTTCCCTGAGCTACATTCTCGGCTCCATGGTAGGTTTTTCTGCAGGCATGGGTCTTCAAGTCTTTGGGGTTGATTGCCAGGTTCTCGGTTAGAGTCTGTTTAATTCTATACGAGGTTGGCCAACTGTCTTCCGAAGTGGCTGTATCATTTTCCACTCCCACCCACAATGAATGTGAGTTCCTGTTGCTTCTGTTCCCAGCGGTACTTGGTGTTGTCGGTGTTCTGAATTTTGGCCAAGCTAGCATTTTTTTTTTTAAATGCACTAGATTGCTGAGAAGTTTCTTTCTCTTTGGGCCTCTGATCTGAACCCTGACTCAGCCTGGGTCACCTGGAGAATTCTGGGATTCTCAGTCTGTGATGATGTGTAGATAGGCCTGTGCCATGGCATGAATGTGGGGTGTAGTGGACACAGTGGTGTGCCCTTCTGAACCCCATCAGACTGACTCACCTACCCTCTGAATAGGGGTCAGATTCACCCAGCCCTCAGCTGCCTTCTTTGGGGTAACTACCATCTGAAAGACCCTAACCCTTCAGGCTTTACACCCCCAAGCCCCAGGAAATAAGGAACTAAAAAGAAAACTAGTCCAAGGGCCACCTGACTCAGCCACTACTCAATCACCCCTGTAACAATGTAACAATGTAAAAGGATTTCTGTTAAGAGATGTGCTCAACTGTGACTGGGATAGTTGCAGGTGTTCCAGGAAGGACCACTGTGACCTTTGTGTAAACTCCACTCCCGCCCTGGTACCCCCCTTGAGGTTTCAGGAAGAATGTACATGCGGACGTGACTGTACCCACTCTGTGATCAGACCATGATCTTGTGAAACAAAATTGTATGGGAATTGTAATCTTATGGCTTTTGTGGGTTTTCCCTTTAAAAGCCCCCATGGGGCTGCAGTAAGATGTGACTCTTGCTCTTTGGAGCAGAGTTTGCCTGACTATACAGCCGCAATAAACCTCTTGCTATTGCATCAACTGGACCGGAGTCTGGGTTCTTGGGGTGCCCACTCGAGAAGATAGTACCCTGGGTCTGGGGTCTATCACATCAAAGTTGGGGGGACAATGATTTGCCCCAAGGGTAGTGTAGTAGTACTTTCTCATAGGGACCATCAGCCAGAAATAATGACATTGAGACTTATTATTAATTATGAAAGCTTGGCCTTTAGCTTGGGCTTGTTTCCAACTAGCTCTTATAACTTAATTAACCCAGGTTTTAAAATCTACCCTCTGCCACGTGGCTCTTTACCTTCCTCAGTACAGCTTGTCAGACTTGCTCTGAGTCTGCCGGTGAAATCCACAGCCTAGATTCCTCCTCCCAGTTCCTCTCTCTGCCCGGAAGTCCTGCCTATCCTCTCCTGCCTAGCTATTGGCCATTTATCTTTTTATTAAACCAATCAGAAGGTGACTTAGGCTGAGACACATCTTTACAGTGTACAAAAAGATTATTCCACAACAGGATAGGCAGGCAGGGGTGCCTCAAGATCGGGATAGACTGAATCAGAAATACAGATGTAGGGCAAACTCCCTGCTACCCCATCCTTCCTTCCTCATTTTTTTGCAGTGGATCTGCAGATTGTACCTTCATGAACTTCACCATACTTCTGTTTGTCCCCAGGTCTGTGTTGAGGAAACCCAGTACTAGGCAACACTGATCAGCCTCTCCTGAGGGGCTGCAGCCTCAGCTTCCTAAGCAGCAGACCAGTTGAGATCTGGGTGGGGACGAGGGATCTGGTCTCCTCAGACATGGTCTTATAGAGGGATAATGTCATATCTGAGACTTCCTTGTTATTTGGTTCCACTTCTGATACCGAACACAGCACTATGTCCCAGAGGCACCTCAAGGGAGTATCCTTGTCCTGGGGCCTGCTAGGAGTATGATTCCACACACATTTTTCTTCTATTCAGAACTGGCTGGAAGGCTTCCTGGATAAACTCTTCCTCGACATGTTCTTTCCAGCAGGTGGAGAGTAAAGCATATTTCCGAATTCAAGATTACATCCCAGCAAGGCTTATTGAGCAAATGACAGCAATCCGGGCCCAAGTAGAAATCTCCGAGATGCACCGGCTCAGTTCTGCACCTTGGGGAGAAGATGCTGAGCTGGAGTTCTTAGAGGTGAGGCCTCTGGGGTCCTGAGAGAGGTGTCAGAGTCCAGGAAATGTAGTCAGGGTTCTCTCTGCAGCCGGATCTAGGGACTAGAAGGGATTAAAGTTGCAAGAAGGTGTAGGCAAGGGATTAACCCACAAAAGGAAGAATCTTTCATCACCCTGAGCAACATGGAGAGGCTTCTGGTAATAGGTGTGGCATTAGAAATGACGCTTCAAAGGGATAGGATCTATTGGGCTAGGCTGGGTGTTGCAGGGCCTTGTTTTGACCTTAGAGAGACATCTCTGATACTTTCCTGTGGGCAGGGAGACTTCATAGACGATGCAGAGGACACCTGAGGTAGAGAACTGGGCTACAAGCTGGGCAGATCTATCGGGAGGTGTGCAGCCTCTGAGCAACTGTCAGCACAGCTGTAGAGGAAGTTCTCTCTTCTCTCCTCACCTCAAAGCAGCAGTGTTTCAGTCTCACACGCCAAGAGCACCCACGGTGATGAGTGTGTTGCTCACTTCGTTACCCCCCCTCACGGTCGGCTAGGTGCTGTGGGGAATGGAGACAAGGAGCATGTGTTCCCTGTCCTTGGTGGGTCCTAGATCTCTGAATGACAACTGTTTATCTAGAGGTGGGCACGCTGTGACAGAGAGACCAGGACCAAAGCCAGTGACTGGTGGGATGGGGCAAGAGCAGCCTCTTTTCTTTGCAGGTACATGAACAGGGTGTGTGTGAATGGGGAGGATCTTCTAGAAAAGGTCCGTGTGGCTGGACCTCCAGACTTGGGGAACAGTTTCCAAAGGAAATGTGGGAATGTGCGCATTTCTCTGTATCTAATTCTCTTAACTTGGGTCAACATATTCTGCCCACATGTTTGTTTGTTTGTTTGTTTGTTTTTGCCTTTAAGGAGATGAGCGCTTGAGAGGAGAACTGGGAAAGTGAGGTTTTGCCTTTTCTTTTTGGCCAGTCATCTAGGAAAATAATCCCAACACCCAGCATGGGGGCAGTCTGTGAGCATTTCATCCTCTACGTCCCACCAGAAACACTTCCTGAGTTCTCTAGCCCAGTCTCACACACATTCCCTGCCCTGGATGAGGGCCATGTGGAGAACTCAAGGCTATGGGATAATGAGTGGCCGTAGAGCTAGAGACCCGAGTTGAGATCAAGGACTTCACCCTGCAGGCCCCTCCTATGGGATGAGTGCTGCCTGCAGCCTGTCCCCAGCCTTGCTCTGTGTGCTGGGCTCTGTCCTGTCTCTCCTTCCACTGCAGAACTATGAAAAAGTGACTATAAAAATAGCTACCGTCTTAGAAGCAAAAGACAGAAGGCTATTTTTTTGTCTTCCTGTCTTTCACAAAAAGCATCAGGCAGATTTTGTTTCATTTGCATGCAATGTTCATTCATCTTAAGACATACTCTGTCTCCTACCCTTCCCTTTGGTGGCCTTACCACAGTGACTAATGCTGTAGGCTGCATGTTCTTGGTACAGAGAGTTGACAACAGAATGAGCTTTGCACCCCCAGAACTCTCTGAGAGCATCCCTGTCACTGTGTGAGTTGTTAAAGTCTTTTCCTTTCCCAAATATGAAAGAAAACATTTCCACACCATGCTGCCTCAGAGAACAAGCACACTCACATTTTGATATATTCACCCTTCTATAGGAATTTATATGTATATATGCATATGCATTTATAAGTGGGCATATATTATATAAGTACTCCTATGTATTCATATAACAAAGCATTGCAAAAAATTTGAAAACTTACTTTGAATCAATACACGCTCCCCTTCAACACTGTATTCTTTGCCATATAAATAGTCCCAATATGCAACACTAAATTTAATATTTTCCTATATCCATCATTGGCTGTATTTCTGCTTCATTTATTAAGGGTGAGAATCTCATGAGTGGAGTCACACAGCTGGGTGGCAGTGCTCCGTTCAACCACTGGTGCTACATATTGTTGAGGCATCTCATCTCCCACTCACCTCTGGAAATTCCTTGTCCCTCTAACCAGGATGTCAATACCATCAGTGCCCTGGATGCACAGAGCCCACTGCAAGCTGGTATACCACAAATAATCACTAGACATTTAATTATAGCTCCTTTGGGCTCTTCTTTTTCATAAAAAGAGGAAATCATTCCCAGGTGGCTGCCTGCTGGCTTGGTTCACGGATGCTGTACTCTGCCAATTCATTTCCTCCCACTGGCAGCCGGCTTGGCAGCAGTCCAGTGTGGGTGCCACTGAATGCCACCCTTGGTCTGGAAGATTCACAGCTGTGTGAGTGTATGAATCCCTGAACAACCTATTCAAGGTTAGCTCTCTGTTTCCCAGACATCCTCAATGCTCGACCTGCTCCCACTCAACTAGGGACTATGATGTGATATGAAAACAATTCCAGTTGCCTGTTGAAATCATATTAGTTATATTCTGTATTTTTCTCTCTCCTTAGCATTCTGATGAATGCACTCCCTGGGTGTTACAAGCATTTTGTCCTTCACTGCCTGGGAGATAGGCTCCCTTAACCTATTCCTGCAAGTCTGCACCAAATTAGAAATAGAATTATGAGAAGTATTTGTCTTGGTTATGTAGCACATTTTCCTGGAGTACATTCTCAGAGATGGAATTATAGGGCCAAAGCATACAAATTGCTGAGAATTAGGAAGAAGAATCCATTTGTGACCCGCAGTTTTCAGTACAGCAAGGGGCAGTCAGGACTGCTTGGTTTCAATTTCACTTTGCTATCTGCTGCTGGAAGAATAGGGAACCGTGGAGGATGGATGAGGAAAAGAACCACGGAAGGCAGGAGACAGACAACATTATTTTGCTTTTAACAGATTGAAGGTATCCCAGAAGACATTATGCTTGTTTATATATGTTCCCAGTCTTCAGGAATTCTCTGAATTTTAGTTGTTGAGAGTGATTTCTTGGAATCAGACAGACCCCTTTACTGAGATTCCCACTCCTGCCTCCAAGGAATCTAGGCATGTTATTTGGATCTGTTGAGTGATTTGTCTCTCAGATATGGAGAATTTATTTCACGATTTTTTCCTAAGCTTACTGAGCCAAAAGTTTGAACATCATATCCAATAACAGAAAATTGTTCTGATATATGTAGTAAAAAGAAATTGAAACTATTATTTCCAAATTGAGCCACATAAGCATAGCCACATAGACTCCAGTGTATTGCCACAAACTGTTCTTATAGCCCTGTACCTTGTTTTATATTTGTTCCAACAGGGCTCGATATTTTAGACATTTATATCAAGAGGGACAGAAAACAGAAGTTGGGATCACATGGGTAACCTGAGCATATTGGAAACAAATGGGAGGCTGAATGTCCTTAGCCACAGCTGTGAATCTGTATAAATGTGGACCCAGGCTGAACTATGAACTTCAAAACAGGCAATGAAGTCTGGGCAGAGCAGCCACTGATAATGTTCCAATAACCCATGGCTCCTTAATGGAGACTAGCTATGCAATCAAAATCCTTATATCCCTCACCTGAGCATGGTCCTAATGATGCTTGGCTGTGTGGCCAAACAGGACTTGTCAACTGGCAAGTAATGACAGGGAGCATCAAGCCTTTTCAGGTGCTGTGGTTATTTGTTATATGCTTTTTGAAAGCAATTATAAATTTAAAATACAGGAAATGATAGAATTCTTGTAATGTCAGTAGTGTTTTCTTTGTGTGTGTGGTGTTATGTTGTTTTTGAGTCAGAGTCTCTCACTAGGGCCGGGCTTGCCAATTACTCTAGGCAAGTTGGCCAGGGATCTTCCTACCTCTGCCTCCCCAGGGATCCTCCTACCTCTGCCTCCCCAGGGATCCTCCTGCCTCTGCCTCCCCAGTGCTTGCATTACAAGCACCCACTACATCCAGCTTTTTACATAAGTCCTGGGGATGCAACTCAGGTCTAAGCCATCTTTCCAGCCCCAACAGCTACTTTCTTTGTGACGTCCTTAGACTATAAGAACAGAAGAGGAAAGATGCTAATTAAAATGTTGGATTTTGTGAAAAATAACAACAACAAAAAGTTTCTTTTCATTTGAAGAATGTGAAGAACGTGGCTTGCAGAGACAAAAAAAAAGTTTAATTGACTCAAATTCAACTGACCCAATTACTTAGCCCTTCTGTGCCTCCATTTTCTCCTTTGGAAAAAGACAGCTTCACCTTTGTCTTATGATTGCTATGAAAACAAACAATACCCGGCTGTGCTTGGCTGCATGTGTTACCAGTATTCAAGTATCGTGACCCTTTCAGAGTAATTAAAAAATTAAAAAATGAAAAGTTAATGCTAAACAGTTTAAAAAAGTTTAGGAAAAAAAAAAAAGCAAGTTTAGAAAAGGCATCTTTATTTTCCTGGTGGCCATTTATGTCGATGCTTTAAAACAGTGTTCATCAAATTCCTTAACAATGTATAATGCTGTCTTGGGCAGCCTCTCTTTGTCATACTTTAATCAATGTCCTGCTTGGCCATGGATATTTCAATACAAATACTCCGTGTTTTTATTGGGTGACAGTGGTGATGATGATGATGATGATGATGATGATGATGATGGTAACAATGATGACAGTGTCTCTTCCAAGCTAAAAGCAGGAGGCTCAGCACCCCGACATTTAATCACAATCTCATAGAGAGCCAGGGTGTTTGCAGGCTCGATTACTCATCAACAGGAGAGAGGTCAGCAATGACCTTGAGAATAACAAACACAATTTCTAATTGGTTTCCCTCTATGACTATGCCTGGGGATGAGGAAGTTCATATAAATAGGGCATATCTTCTGTCTGCTGAGGACAGAGACATGGACCAGAGCTCACGAGTGAAGCCCATCTGAGAGGCTCTCAGATGTCCAGCCCAGGAAGCCCTTCCTGCAGATCCATGTGCATCATCCTTCTGATGAGGACTTCTGGGCCATGTGATGACTCTTCAGACATTTGTGTTGAGTTCATGCTTGAAATTCTCTTGAGAATTCAATTGGCCTGATATAGCTACCAGCTTTGATTGACCCTTGGTCTCTTGCAAAATTCAATCCCTTAGCTTGGTAAACTGAGGCAAGAGCTGGGGCTGTGGGGATCCTACAGAGGCATTGCTGAGTGGAAAGGCATGTTGGAGTGACAGACATTTCCCCTGCAGATTGTTCTTGGCTCAGTTTGCTTTGACAGCCTTGATAATGACCTGAACGCTGCTTTTGCAAGTGGAACATGAAAAGATGAGACCAGATGATTGACACAACTGGGGAAGGGAGCCCCTAACCTTGAGATGTACCAAGAGTCTGAATCATAAGAAACACTTGTTCCCCATCTTTTCATCCTAGTGTCTTATATTTGTAAGAATGTATCCCAAACATTCTTTTCGGTATCCTACAAATAAGAGTTCTTTAGGTTAGAAAGAAAGGAAAGAAGAAAGGAAGGAAGGAAGGATGGAAGAAAGAAAGAAAAGAAAAGAAAGAAAGAAAGAGGTCATCGTATTAGAGGTGTATATACATTCCAGAGTGAGAAAAAAACTGTCTAGCTGAATGTTTCTTCATCTTGTTTGGCAACAATGGACCTTTTCCACAGAAGGGGTTGAGGGTCATGATTCTGAAGCAGTTCAACTCATGGGTCCTAAGGTGACTTTTTCCTTCCTCCCAGGTTGTTCAGCAACTCCCAGAATATGGAGTCCTGGTTCATCGAGTTTTTCCAGAGAAGAAGAGACCAGAAGGGAAAATGGCCTTGGGGGTCTGTGCCAAAGGTATCATAGTCTACGAGGTGAAGAGCAGCCGCAGGATCGCGATATCACAGTTTCCATGGAGAGAAACTGGGATGATTTCAACTCATGTGAGTGAAGCTCAGCTGCCAGCCTCCCATGCTCCCTTTCCTTTGAACTGTGGCCCTTTTAAGTGGCAGTGGCTATGTGAATTCCTCTTGACATATTCACATACAGCCTGTCACACATTAACCTGTATTCTGGTGCATTGACATATTTGGGAGGACCAAATAAACCAAATACTTCAGGGGTGGGGTCTGGGTGATCCCCAGGAAACCCCCCCCCCACTTTTTTCATGTTCTCTTGCCAGCTTGCTCACAAGCCTCCATAGACAGCCTGTAGCCTAAAGTGCTACATTTCCCTTCATGCATGCATTCTCCTTCACCTTCCCTCCATGCATGCATTCTCCTTCACCTTCCCTCCATGCATGCATTCTCCTTCACCTTCCCTCCATGCATGCATTCTCCTTCACCTTCCCTCCATGCATTCTCCTTCACCTTCCCTCCATGCATGCATTCTCCTTCACCTTCCCTCCATGCATGCATTCTCCTTCACCTTCCCTCCATGCATGCATTCTCCTTAACTTGAGGAGCCCATCTGTGGCCAAAGCAAGGTCAAGTGGGATCCATAGGAAGAGAATGGAGTGAGGGTTGAGTGGAGTCTGCAAGCTTTTTGAAACATCTGCCCTCAGCTCGTATCTCCTCTGTACACAGTGCTCAGGCACCTGGTGTGTCTTGAGTGGACTGCAGGTACCCTGGCAGAGTGAGTGTGGAACGGCCACTGAAAAAAACCCCTGAAGAGCCAACTCACTGTACAACCCAAATCATATTAAAATGCCCTGTTTACTGTTCAGTTCCCAAATTTAGTTTCTATCAGCTCGGCACTGGGACCCGGTAGCTGCCTGTCCCTGCCTGTCCCGGGGTCATCCAGGTCAGTATTTATGCTTCACTGAAGACCCTTCTCAAGACAAAGTTCTTTGCCTTTTGGCCCATGCACATTTTAGTTTTTCTTCTAATTACTTTTCTCCTATTGTTTAAATTTTTCTACTAGTTAGATCACTTTTATTATCTGATATTAGCATTTCCTAGGTAAAACATAATGGTTTTCATTCAATATTTGAATGTTTCTTTTGTGGTGTTTTATCTTGATTTTTGAAATTAACATTGTCAATATATTATATATAATAGAATCATATATATACATATTATAGATATACAATTGAATTCATAAAACTTCAGAATTTTAATTACTTTTAATTTAGTTGAAAGATATTTAAAGAATTCAAATTATTGAATCAAAGTCAAATCAACACTATTACATTGTTTCTTAGACTCTTCACCACATATTTAACTAATCAAAGATTTCAATGTGACTTGTCTAAATGCAGATTCTCTAAGTAGTAATTTTGAAACATGGAAAATTTTGAGGCCACAAAAACAACAGTCCCCTAAAATTTATTTTTACACACACACACACACACACACACACACACACCCCAAAACAAAAAAAAAACCCAAAACAAAACAAAAACTATATATTTAATTTTATTGTTTTTTCATTACCGGGCCAAAAAAATTAATTAAAAAAAAGTTAAATCTGGGAAGTCATCAAGTTCGCAAGCTCAAAGCAACTATTTAATTAGGATTTCCACACTCTGATGTTCAACTTCCTCCTTGGCAGGAATAGACTATTTTGCTGGAAAAGTCATCCTGTGCAGGAATATCACCAGCTGCTTCTGGCCAGTTAAGCATCTCCCACAGAAAATGACTCTGTGCTTCTCCAAGTAGCCTGAGTAGCCTGAGGTCATTCAGGGAAGCTAGCTTCAGTTTTGTTTGCCAATAGCTGGAGCCAAGATGCTTAATCTCACCTCATTCTTCCTTTCACCCTGCAGGGAAGTAGCCAGGCAAGAAGGATGTTGTTTTCAAAGAAGGCAGTCCCTGGATGCCTTGGCATCTATGTATGCTTGATTATTCAACCCAAAACCGTTCCTTCTAGAACAAGGAGTCTAACGGTGCTGGAACTGTAGTAAATTTCAAGCATTAGTTCTATTAGCTGGAGATAAATGCATGGAGCAGAACAGACTATACAGGACTATATGTGGCCCTCTTTAAAGCAAAAGATACAAAATTGCAAATAGGAGCTACTTCAGGAAACGGAATGTTGTTTAGAATAAGAAAAGAAACCCCTTAAGTTGAAGATTTAAAAAACCAGAGGACATACCTTTTAAATAGTGCAAATGCCAGAAAAACACTCCATTAATTAACTTCCTGGCAAAGCCTGTAATGCTCTCTCTTTTCAAATTTAGGGTGGCATATTCTTTTCTTGTTTTTCATATTTCATAATGTCATTTTATCTAGAGAGAACTGAAATACAGTTTAATGTATCTTTTAGTATGGCTGAGGTAGGCTAGATAAAGCATACAGTTTGCACAGAGAAACACTTGCTCATTGTGAGTTGTTAGTTTCTCTACTGCAAATGCAGGGATTATTTATGTGTTGGTGTGTGTTTGTGTCCTGGAGATGATGCTAAAGCCGAACATATGGTAGGGAGTGTTCGACCATTGGCAATCTAACAAATTTCGTCTTATTTGATTCCTATAAAAAAATAAATGTGGCATGATCGGGTGTTCTTGAGAACTAAATTCTAGTTTTTAATTTATGATGACTGTGGAAGTTTGCCTCAGAGCAGCCCCTGGCTCTGTGCATTTCTGCCTGTCTCCTGGGAGCTCAGTATCATCATAGCACATGGTTAGTTTCAAGTGGCTGCCTGTCCTTGTGCTGAGACCTGCGTGGTTTTGCCCAATGGGAGTGCATTCTGAGATGCCTGACCACAAAGTAGCCCTTGTAAAAGATAGCTGCAAGTGGCGTAAAACTCAGATGATTCTGAATCTGAGGCTGCTTCCATTCATTCCATTTTGTCTTTCCTTAGAAGGGTCCGCTCCCAAACCACCGGGGACTACCCAGTGGGAGGGTCAAATTAGGAAAGAGAGCGTGGTTTTCTCCTCTCACTACTTACAATAAATGTCTAGGTAATTAGCTCATAAATGCAGAAGATTTATTCTGGCTCATAGTCGCATGTGGCTGCTCAGTTGTGCTGCTTTGAGCTAGTGGTGAGGTAGCACAGCATGGCCAGAGAGCTGGGTGGGACAAAACCACTTACGTAACATGGCCTGAGAGCAAATACATCAAGAGAGAGACTGGGGTCCCAGCATCATCTTCAAGGGCATGTCCTAATGACCCAACTTCCTCCCATGAGGCTCCACCTACTAAAGGCTCATCTTCTAATTGTGCCACTCTGGGGACCACACTTTTACTTAACACATGCACCTTTGATGGATCCTGATTAGAACGGAAGGCCGGTCAAAGGAGAAAAATGGGTTAGTGGCTTTAACCAACCGTGGTGGAAACATGTTACTTTCCAATATTACCAGAACATGTATACACACGGCCAGGACTGCTCCCAGGAAAGTGTGGGGCCAGGCGAGGGTGCTGGAGTTTCAGGTTCCTGAGCTTGGTTCGTGGGCAAATCTGTCCATGTCTGGAAGGATGTAATTGCAAAGATGTAGGAAAACAAACAGGTGAGCCAGCAAATGGACTGTGATTGAAACAGCAATAGCAATAAAACTTCTGTGTATAAACTGTTCCAGAATGGGAAAATGGTGCTAAGACAGTGTTGTGGAAGCACCTAGACTGTTCACACCACAACGACAGGGGGCTTAAGAAAAGATTTCCAGGTTTGTGCTAAAAACCCTGAGGTTGGAATTATAGACCCTTACTGTATCCTTATTCGAGGAGCAGCTTGCCCTGGGCAAATTTGCTGTGGGAATGAATTCCATTAAGTGAGGTTTTCAGAGTGATGATAAACAGACATGAACTCCAATCCACTGCCATCGAGAGCATCATCAGACCCAGGAAGAGAGTGGGCATTTCACTTTCTCTCAAATCCCTTTGGACCAGTCCCATTCTGCTGCTGCTGCGATGAAACACCACCGCCAAAAGCAATTTATAAAAGTAAAAGTTTATTTGGGCTTAGAGGTTCCAGGGGGAAAATCTATAACGTCAAGGAAATCATGGCGTAGTGGTGGAGCAGGAAGCTGGGTGATCACAGCTTTCATCCACATACAGGAAGCAGCTGAGAGTGAACAGGAAATGGGGTAAAGCTATGAAACTCCAAAGCCCATTCCCAGTGATGTACTTCCTCCGGTAAGGCTTTACCTTCTAAAGGTTCCACAAACCTCCCAAACAGCACTACCAATAGGGAGACCAACCATTCAAATACACCAGACTCTGGGACGTTTTTCATTCAAACCACCACACTCTTGGAGCTCTGGCATCCAATGGGAGAGTTTGGTTAATAGTTAATAAATTGAAAGAAGCTGTGTGTGTGTGTGTGTGTGTGTGTGTGTGTGTGTGTGTGTGTGTGTGTGTTTCTCCCTTTTCAGATTTATTTGAGAATAGTTATCAGACTTTATTTATTTTACTGATCGATTGATTGAGACAGGGTCTCATTATGTAGCCCTGGCTGGAGGGGAGATCCACCTGCCTCTGCCTCTTGAGTGCTGGGATTAAAGGAGCGTGACACCACACCTAGCATGCAGTGCATTCTGAGGATTCTAGATCTGTTTCTAGAGTCCGGAATTTCTAGATTGTGTTTCAGATAGAGAATGATGATTCCTCATTCTGTAGCCAGGAAGACAAGATGTATAAATGCTCACACAGTTCTTAGAATAATTTTAACCTGCGCATCTTTTGTTGGGGGGGTTTTGTCTTGGCTATGACAGAAATTAAAACAAGTGAAAGTTTATTACAGAATAGAAGCACAGACCTCCCATAGGCAGAGGAGCCAGAAACAAAGATTCAGGTTGCAATTCCTGGAGAAGAGTTTCTGTTTTCATGCTTTTTCCAGACAAGGGAGGAGGCTTCTAGTGTGCATGCAGCACTTTGCACACTGCTCAAAACACTCCTGTATTTTTGTTCTATCTCTCCCTTGGGGAGCTTTCCCTATGCTAATGTAGTATAATGAGGCATAATGAGGATCTGCGTCAGGTTCCCTGTCAGTTTCTTTGCTGCTGTGGTGGTGGCTGGTCCTGACCACAGCTCAGTTCCTCTGCTTGCTTGCTACAATGCAGCTGCCTGCTTGTTTTCTGCTGGCTCCCTGTCTCTTCAGAGCAGGAAGCTTGGCGCTTGCAGAATAAAAACAATGGGGATGCTTGCTGGCCATTTCTCAATGCACTTGTGAAGACTGACTGTCGCTGGCTCATTTCGTGTTCTTTCCACCCAGCACACTCCTTGACAATAGCAATTAAGTGATTTACATTTGGCTCACAAAATGAAGGAGAAAATAGATAGAAGGATTTTGTTTAGCCATTGTCTAAGAAAAGGAACTGGGCCTTTGTCAGACATTATCTGCCCTGCACTTCCAGAACTGTGTTGATGTTGAATTGAGGAGCTGGTCTTTTATTGCTGCTTACATACATGTACTTCCAAGTGGCGGGTGGGGATGGTCAGGGTTCTAAGTCTGTGCTTACTTCCTCCAGAAAAAAAAGCTCACCCTCACCAGCAGCATCACTGGGAAAAAGTACACCTTTTTCACCGACTCAGCCAAGACCTGTAAATATTTGCTGAGCCTCTGCTCTGCCCAGCACTGGTTTAATGCACAGATGAGCTCCGGGCAGCCTCCTCATCTTTTAAGTGGTGAGTATATACTGTATTAGCAACACACAAGCAGCCAGACTTGCTCTCTCATAAAATAATTTGTATGAAAAGATATAGTTGACACCCAAATAGCTGAAAAGTCTAAAATCATCACCAGCAATGGCAGAAACACAATAAAAATGAAGTATAGATTTTATTCTCAGATAGATAAAAAGTGGAAATAACACTACGAGGGAAAATTGATACAATCTTCCCAGAATGCAACTGGAGACTCCCCCCCTTCCCCCTCCCTCTCTCTCTCTCTCTCCCTCCCTCCCCCTGTCTGTCCATCTAACTTTGTAAAAGCTGAAAGGAGACCTATATCCCTTTGAACTCACAATTTTACTGCAGACAGTTGTCCTGAGGTAATAAATTCAGACGTGGATGGTAAGTGGAACTGTCCATGGTACAGTGCTGAGTGAGAAGGACAGGAGAGGAGCCCTGAGTGCAGTATTGTAATGGGACATCTCCATCCTTCAGAGCGGGTGGGGCGCCAGCCAGTCGTACTACTGAGCAGTTAAATCATAACAGGAGCAACCTAGAAATTAAACCTGTCATTTTGCTTAAGTTTTAGTGATGTATGTTTAAATTTGAATGGATAGTTTATGTATATTCATGTAGTTAACACTCACATGTTATAAAACAAGAAATAATACAGAAATAAGCAAAATCAAAATATTTTTAAATTAATTTTTTCATATATTCTACATACCAACCACAGTTTCCCCTCCCTCCTTTCCTCCCCCTTCCTCCCCGCACCTCCTATCTACCCCCACCCATCCACTCTTCCTCATTCTCCATTCAGGGACAGGCCTCCCATGGGACTCAAACAAAGCATGGCACATCAAGTTGAGGCAGGACCAACTGCATCAAGGCTGGGCGAGGCAACCCAGCATGGGGAATAGGTTCCCAAAAGCCAGTTCAAGCACCAGGGACAGGTCCTGATCCCACACTAGGATCTCCACAAACAGACCAAGCCACACAACTGTCACACACATGCAGACTCCACAGCTGTTGGTCTAGAGTCTGTGAGCTCCCACGAGCCAGGTCAGCTGTCTGTTCCCCTGTCATGACCTTGACCCACCCCCACCCCCACCCCCCGCCTTGTACAATCACTCCTCCCTCTCTTCAACGGGACTCCCTGAGCTTGGCCCAGTGCTCAGCTGTGGGTCTCTGATTCTCTTCCGTCAGGTACTGGATAAAGGTTCTCTGATGACAATTAGGGTAGTCACCAATCTGATCACAGGAGAAGGCCAGTTTGGGCACCCTCTCTACTATTGTTAGGAGTCTTAGCTGGGGTCATCCTTGTGGATTCCTTGGGGTTTCCCTGGTACCAGCAAAACCAAAATCTTACTACCTTAAGGAGTTATACATGCAAACATGGCTATTTTCTTCATATTTCTCAGTATTAAACTTTACCAATGAGCATGAATTACTGATATAATAAAGAGATTGATGGCTTTAGTGAGGCCATACAGTCACATGACACTAGTTAGTGTTTATTGAGCATGTGCTGTGGAGCCACATGCTCCTTTCCTTGTGATAATCACTTCAAAGACGACCTCATTTTGAGGGCTGGAGAGATGACTCAGTGGTCAAGAGAATTGACTGCTCCTTCAGAGGACCTGGGTTTGATTCCCAGCACCCACATAGCAGCTCACAACTGTCTGTAACTCTAGTTTCAGGGGATCCCAAGCCCTCTTCTGACCTCTGAGGGCACCAGACATACATGTAGTGGACAGACATATATGCAAGCAAAACACGCCTCCTGGCACACATAAAGATTTCATTTATGATCACAGCATGCACATTGTTTTCTAACTGTGCTAGTCAAGTCAGTCTATGAGGCTAGACCTGCATCACTGTGAGGGGTAAACCAGGTGTGAAGTGAAGCCATGTGCCAGCTGCCTGGTGGTGGGGCCGATCCTTAAACCTGGAGCTTCCAGAGCCCAGAGCCTGTTTGCTTCATCCCCCTGCCTCTGCTTTTCACCATTCATCAAGCATAGCCTTTAGTGGCTGAGACTTTGCTTTAGTGCCAACCTCATCATGGTTGCCTTTGGCATCTAAGTGTATTTCTATTCCTACTTATAAAAGGAAACGATTAGCTACAATGATGCCCTGAACACCTCTGAGATGCTAGGGATGTGGAAACTCAGGACCCGCCCCACATCTATTGAACCAGAATGCACATGTGCAAAAGAACCTATGGATTTCAACCAAGTACAAGGCAGTGAAGCCTTGGCTGAGGAGGCAGGCTGAAGAGTCCCTGAGACTCCGCTGAGTGCCACCTAGCAGCTGTGTGGCTTTGGGTAGCTCACCTCGCCCCTCTCTGAGTCTTGGTGTCCTCATGAGAGCACACTGACCATCTCAGGTCTGTGCTGTGCTCCAGTGGGGCAGCACGTCACATTTCTAGCTCCCTGCCCAGTGCTCAGTGTACTGTGACAATGATGACAGCAGCCTCTACTTCTGGGTTTTGTTTCTGTTCCGGCCAGTATACACAGAAGTCTGGACACTGGGCTTCAGGGGCCAGTCCATGGTCCGAATGAACTGGAGAACAGGATCAGAGTTTTCAAAAGCAGAACCAAACACAGGGACTAAAAGTAACTCAGGGTCTGTAACAGAACAAACCTGTGCATAAGTCTCTGCAACCATGGACTGGCTGGTTTCAGATCTCCAGGGATCTAAGATGATAAGTGCAAATTAATTGTACCTGACTTTCCTGCTGTTGCTGAGACACTGTGTGTGAAGCACTACCAATACTGTTTTCATTGCCTGATTTCAGTGACTGTAAAATATTTATATAGACTTTTTGAGCTCACTTGTGAAATTGGTCCTTCCAGGCCTATTTCACTCCTAATACACTATTTTCTCAAACATCAAATTCTGTCATATATAGTAGTTTCCAGGACTCTAACATTTTATTTACATTAAAATGGCTCACTTAATCAATCCCCTTTTGCCTTTTAAGAATCTCTTTGAGAAATTCTCTGCAGATACCATTCTTCACCCACTCCAACCCCGTGTGTGTGTGTGTGTGTGTGTGTGTGTGTGTGTGTGTGTGTGTGTTATGTGTGTGCATGCACATGTGTGTAAATGCATATGGAAGCCAGGGGACAAGCTCAGATGTCTTTCCTCAGGAGCTGTCTACCTTGTTTTTTGAGACAGGATTGCCCATGACTACCTGGGGCTGTTGACTGGGTAAGGTTGTCTGGCCATGGAGCTCTAGGGATCTGTCTGTTAACCCCCACCTCCCACCCCTCCCCAGCACTGGGGTCACAAACATGTGCCTCTGTGCTAGTTCTGAGGCTCAGACTCAGGTCCCGGTGCTTGCAGGACTGAGAAATCTCTCCAGATCCCAGACATCACTTTCAATGCTGCATGGAGGGAAAACTGACCACCTCTATCAGTCCCCAGACTCTTCCACAGCAGATCTCTTCTATCCCCTTCCCTTGGATGTGATCTTTATCTTGTTCAAATGGGACCATTCAACACTCACCCAAGAAACTGAAATCTAGGCTAAGACCTTCCTTTCCTACTCCACTCATCACTACATACGCTCAGATAGGCATCTGCCCGGGGATGCATCCTGTTGACTGGCCTTTCAGCCTTTGGAGTGGCTTTTCAAATGGACCGGGCCAGTTATGTTTTCCCTGCTAAAGCTTGTTCACAGTTCCACACTGGACACAGAGACAAGCCCCAAGTTCTGAGGGGACTCTTCCCAGTCTGGCCCCAGCCTTGACTTCTTTCTTGTCCTGATACTTCTCTTTGCTTTCTAACTGTCCTGCATGCCATGATGATGGCTGTGGAAAACCAGGTCCCAGTCTTCTGTGTTTTGGTGCTCAGTGGTTGTGATGGTTAATATTTATCATCAGTTTGACAGGATCTAGAAATGCCTAGGTGACAAGCCTCCAGGAATACCCACAAAGGAATATCCAGATTAGGTTAACTGAGTGGAAAGATCCACTTTAACTGTAGATGGCCCTCCATGGGCTGGAGTCCTGGATAAAACAGGAGAAAGAAAGCTGAGTGTCCTCATTCATTGCTCTTTGCTTTCTGCTTGTGGAAGCAATGTGATTAGCGGCCTCATGCTTCCGCCACCATGCCTTCCCCGTCATGACACACAAAATAAACATTTCCTCCCGTAAGGTGCTTCGGTCAGGTATTTGGTCACAGCAAAGAGAAAAGTAATGACAATACAGTGGCCTCCACTGTGATGCTTTCCCTAACCCTCCTGGGATCAGGCTACCAAGCTAAGCTTGCTTCTCCTAAAGTAAGTTAAAGGTAACCTCCATCTTGAAGCCTCTCCTGGTTGGCTCCTCCCAGCTGATTCCTTCCCAGGGGAGTGGATAGCAGCCTCCTCCTTTTGCAGACTCTGTTCTTTCACCCGTGATGTCTGCTGTGTTCAATTGTGCATACATCTGTGATAGATAAGGAATTTCTTGAAGCTAGGGATGATATCTCACAGCCTTCTCAGCTCCAGCCTGGAACAGAGTTGTGACAAATAAGAAGGGATATATATATATATATACATATATATATATACACTTTTTATTTATATATTTATTGATTAACTGATTAATTTAGAGATAGTCTTGCTGTGTAGCCCAGAGTAGGTTTAAACTTAGGGTCTTCCAGTCTTAGCCTTCCAGGTGCTGGATTATAGGCATATGCTACAGAGTCTACCTCAAATACCTTTTTCTTGTATGGATGGAAGGATGGACAGATGGGTGGATGGAGGGATGATTTATAATTAATCATTTCCTTTTGATACATATTTTTCCATATTGCAAGTGCAACTGTGATAAACATCATTAGAAAAATATTTTTCTGGCTTCCATGTCATTCCTTAACCTCAGAAGTATAACTTCGGGTACCAAGCCAGGGAATTTTTAAGGCCCTGCTGTGTCTCTGAATGTCATGCTAGAATGCTGGAGATTCTTGTCATTCTGACTTTATTTTTTCATTCTCAAAGAGTAGATGTCATTGTATTTTGTGTGTTCATTTGACAGGTAAAAAGATCTCTCACTGTGGCTTTGTTTTGCTTCTTTGATGGGTGAAAAGTTGAACATTTTCCAAATGTCTCTTAGTCATCTTTCTGTGGATTGTCTCAACAGGCATTTTATTTCATAGTTATATTTGGATCCCTGGGGAGAAATAAAAATCACCAGCTCCTATAAGTGTACAGTTCCAGGATAGAATCAGGCGAGGTCTGTCATCACTACCCAGGGGCCGAAACCTTTTCTCAGTCTTTTTCCTGGAAGTGTCCTGGGCTGTGGGAGTGTCCTGGGCTGTGGGAGTGTCCTGGGCTGTGGGATGTCCCGGGCTGTGGGATGTCCCGGGCTGTGGGAGTGTCCCGGGCTGTGGGAGTGTCCCGGGCTGTGGGAGTGTCCCGGGCTGTGGGAGTGTCCCGGGCTGTGGGATGTTCCGGGCTGTGGGAGTGTCCCGGGCTGTGGGATGTCCCGGGCTGTGGGAGTGTCCTAGGCTGTGGGATGTCCCGGGCTGTGGGAGTGTCCTGGGCTGTGGGAGTGTCCTGGGCTGTGGGAGTGTCCTGGGCTGTGGGAGTGTCCTGGGTTGTGGGTGTGTCCCGGGCTGTGGGAGTATCCTGGGCTGTGGGAGTGTCCCGGGCTGTGGGAGTATCCTGGGCTGTGGGAGTGTCCCGGGCTGTGGGATGTCCTGGGCTGTGGGAGTGTCCTGGGCTGTGGGATGTCCTGGGTCCTTTTCTGAACCTATGCTTGTAGGACTTCTCCGGTGCTGCCCAGGGTCTCACACTCCTGTTTTCTTATGGCCCTAACTCAGGATGCCTCTTGGGCATTTGGGATGCTATAACTAACTTATAACCACCAGACAGAGCTAGACATTTGTCAGCTACTTTACTGGTATCAAAATTATATTGTGGAGTCACTCACAGCCAGCAGACAGACACTGCCCTCTTAGCATGCCAGTGGCTTTGGAAAATTCTCGGGAACCCTTCCTTCTAGTCCTGGAAGACAGTACTGGCACTATCAGCTTTCCTGCTTACCTGTAGGTATGTTCTAGTAGAGCACCACGGGGCGTAGGCCTGCTGACACTGGTACCCCTGTTCCTGATGACTCTGTCACCTTGCTGTCTGGTCTCTGTCCTGTGCATGGAACATGCCTGATGACATCGGTGCCCTACTCTTGCAGTGTGTCATGCTGAGTGTTAGCCTCTGTGATCTCCGTCCCTCACCTTGACTTGTGGCCTCTGTCCTGTACACTATGCCCCGCTCAATTCCCAGCACTCCCATAGCTCCTAAAGAACCAGGCGTGTGGTGATTTCACTTCTCTGCTCCCTTCTGTGAGTCCCCTTCCCTAGGGGACAGCTGCTTCCTGGAATGCCAGTCTCTGTCCAGTCCAGTTTCAAGCCACTGAGCCTCTCTGGGCTAAGGCTGGCCACCCCCATCTCTGCCTAGAAAATCCCTTTTAGGTGTTAAGTGTTCCATCCACCATGGTTAAGTACAAGGTCACTGTTCCTTCAGGACTTGGTAATGAGAAGGCTGAGAGTACTTATGTGAATCGTTGGTGCTACTGTCTGTGGCTCAGTGTCTGGACCACTCCCGCTAGCCAGTGCGCACTGTGGAGCCAGTAGACTAAGTGTGAAACTGCTCTATTAACTGACCAACCTTCGGACCAGGAGAAAACTATCCCTTCTCAAATCGTCTTATCTGTAAAATGGGTATGCTATCCGCCCCAGAGAGTGATGGCGAGGAATGAGTGAGACCGTGGAAGTCACGATGCTTGCCACTGATTCTGTCACACAGGACATGCTTAGTCAGAACTAGCTGCCGCTATTACCTTGTTCCTGGCAGGCCCGAGCTCTGGGGCAAGACTATAAAGTCTATGCAAAAGCGACAGGTCATATTCAAATTCCTTACATACCCCCATCCTTTCTTGCTTACTCTATGTAAAGAGTGATACCACAGTCCTCTTATACTCCCGAAATTTCAAGAAGTAATTCTTTTTAGGGGCTAGCTTGTTCAGGGGAACAGCCCTGGCAACAAACCAGAAAAGAGAAGGTCTGCTTAAGTACTTAAATGTTCCTCACTCTCTCCTTGCAGAGGTGTGTTACTGAGCATGCACACAGGCATTCACACACGTCATAACACAGATATAAACACTTCTACCTCCGATAGCCATGCCACATATGCACATACCACATGCATACAAATACACCAGAAAACATGCATATGATGCACGTCCCCATCCGTATACACTTCTACCCACATGCACATACAGATACCGCATACTTATATATACATGAACACTATACATACACAAAGAATGGGGGGCATGGGTACTGGTTGTGCTGATGCTGTTAGACTCTTTCCTTCCTGGTTTCAGTCCGGAGCAGATGGCCCAAAGACAGTCAACATTTTCCTTTCTCCAAATACAAATGCAAGCTAGGTGTGGTGGCTCACTCCTGTAATCCCAGCACTTGGGAGGTGGAGGTAGATGAATCAGGAGTTCAACGTCGTCACCCTTGACTGTAAAGAGAGTTCCAGACTAGCCTAGACTACAGGAGACCCTATCTCAACAACAAAACAACAAAGTGAACAAATAAAAACCCGAACAATGGCACACTAGATGCAGTTCTGAGCAAGGCCTTGTTACCCTAAGAGATCTTTTAATAAAATCTCAATTTTCTATGAATAATGCAAACAGTAAAGCCGGGCATCCCTCATGATCATAGTCTCATCTCTGGGGTCATTTATTAGGCCCTATAGAAGGGGGAAAGGAATGCATCAGAGCTGAGGGCCCACACTCCTAATTTGTGTTTATATGTCTGGCAGGGGACTCTTACATGGACTAATCCTGCCAGGGCAAAGTAAACTGTGTAGAGATTAAAGATTATATTCCACAGGGAAGAACCTGATGTGGGACCCCAGGTGCTTTGATACAGGACTGTTTGCAAGGGCAGATCTGTGAGGGTGAATGCAGAATGAGATGTGACCCTGCTGGAGCCGTGAGTGGCACCAGGTAGAACAGGTTCCTGGCTGCCACTCTATCAGCTACAGGGACCGTCTTGCCTCTCTTCTTAGGCTTCCGAAGTGTCTTTCATCAGAAAGTACTGATTAGAAGGACTTACATTTTCAGGGCTAGGCACAAGGACTCCCCAAGTTAGCAGGGGGCAGAATGTCAGGTCTCTCAGTGCAGAAAAAGAACTGGGTAAGGAGAGTCATGGTGAGGAGTGTATGGTTGTATCAAAAGCAATTACTGAACCAGTGTAATCTTGTGTGTATGTCTGTCTTTTCCTCCCCCAACTCAGATCAGTTTAAGTTTGTACAAATAGCCAACTTGAATTCTGCACACCAGACACAGACTGACCCTCTCACTTGGGTTCAGAAACTGTCATCCTCGGAAAACGAGCTGTGTGTGCCCAGGTTGCAGAATGCCATGGGAGGCCGACTGAGCACATCCGTGGAGAGCATGCAAGGCAGCAAGAAGATCGGGATGGAGGGAATCAGAAACAGGTAGGTTTTGTTTTTTTTTCAGAGCCAAGACTACTAGGTGTGTGGTGCACTGGAGCAGGTTTAAAGTCAATGGACTTTAATGCCAAAGGATCATGTATGTTCACTGTGTTGCTTTTAACTTGATCCAGAGATCGACTGTAGACCACTACAATGACTGACTAAGCTGATTGCCATCGGGCCAGGTCTCACTCCCATATCCTTCTGTTCATATTTTCTGGTACAGAAAAAGCTAGGTGGTAACAGGAAGTTGAAGAAGGTAAAATTAGCAAATGCCAATAATCACCTTTGGACTATCATAAGCTGGGTACTGCTCTTGGAGCTTGTTCTGCAACCCACACAACTCTGTGAAGTTGGTTTTATCATTATCTCTATTTTCCAGAAGGGAAGCTGAAGGGCTAGGACTTAAAGACAGCTGCCCATCCTGGAGGCTGTCCTGGTAACCCTGACATGCTGCTACTTTCCAGGCTGACGGCTTGCCATTTAAATTCGAATGTGAAAGCAGCGAGCTCAGAAATGCCGTGTTCATTGTAAAACAATGATCCATACGTTTAAAAATAGCCCAGAACTTGGATTACACTTACAAGGCAAGTTACATAAATAGCACCGATTCCCAGGCTGTGTGCTGAGGAGGGGGTGGGGCGGCAGGATCCGCTTTTGGGGGAAGATGAGTTAGTTATACATCTGCTTCAGCAGGAGAGAATGGATGGTTTCAGTTCAAATAACTGAAATACATGCGTTGCTGTGGGATGGTCTGTATAGCAAATGTGTTGCTGATTGGTCAATAAATAAAACACTGACTGGCCATTGGCTAGGCAGGAAGTGTAGGTGGGACAAGGAGGAGAATAAAGCTGGGAAGTGGAAGGCTGAGTCAGAGAGACCCTGCCAGCCGCCACGATGGCAAACAGCATGTGAAGATGCCGGTAAGCCACGAGCCATGTGGCAAGGTATAGATTAATGGAAATGGATTAATTTAAGCTGTAAGAACAGTTAGCAAGAAGCCTGCCACGGCCATACAGTTTGTAACCAGTATAAGTCTCTGTGTTTACTTGGTCGGGTCTGAGTGGCTGTGGGACTGGCAGGTGAGAGAGATTTGTCCTGACTGTGGGCCAGGCAGGAAAACTCTAGCTACAATGAGTATACACAGAAACCTTAAAGTAATACTTAGAAAATTATTGCTCCAATTCTACTGATGCAAATGTACCTCACTCTGCAGTACAAAAATCAATCAATAACGAGGAAGCAAAACTCATTCTGGGTCTCCACGGCAAACCACCCCAAGAACAGTGGCATAGCCCAGCAGTCATCTTATTCTGCTTCACAACTTTGCGGGTTAGAAAAGGAGGCAGGACTTTGCTTTGTGTGATAAAGAGAGTATCTTGACGGTCATCAGCAGGTACCCCTGTATAGAGGTGGCTGGGATAGGCTGCGTGCTGGCACCCTCTCACCCCATACAGCCTCAGGAGGCCCTATCCATATAGTGGCTCCAGCAAGAGTCTCCACTGTTGCTCTGGGCTCTCAGAACTTGGGGAGGGCTTGCCAGTGATCATACCGTGTAGCCCAGAGACCAGCACACATCTGTCATCACTCCTGGGTTCATACAAATTCAAAGGGACTAGAAATGGGTCTGTCTCAGTGTGTGAGCGTCAATGGATTTGTGGCCTCTTTTACCTGTCACCCATTGGTTTAGAGGACTTTATAGCACTTCATTGTTTACCAGCAGAAGCAGGACAGTGAAGAGTCAGCAGCCAGGGGTGATTGCTGCCGTGCCTAACAACCCAAGTTCTGTTCCTGGTGCCCACACAGTGGAAGGAGGAAACCAACTCCTGAAAGTTGTCCTCTGACCTTTACACACACTGTAGCATGTGTGTGCTCCAACACACACACACACACACACACACACACACACACACACACACACACACACACACACTCACAATTTTAAATGTAAAGAAAAATAGAAAATGCAGAAGTAACTATGACTTATTCCAGGCCATTGTGCTAGCTTCCTGTTGCTGTAACAAAATACCTCAGGTAATAACTTTCAAAAGAGGTAAGGTTGATTCTGGCTCAGTTTCAGTCCAAAACTAACTGGCCCCACTGGTTTTGACCTGTTATAAGGCAGCACACCATGGCAGGAGTATGTGGTAAGAGAAGCCCATTTGTTTCTTGTGGGTAGCAAAGAAAAGATAGCAAGAGGAAGGAACTGGGGGTCTACTATCTTGTTCCTCTAAAGACCTCTGTTAAAGTTTGGATAGGAAGTGTCTTTCAAAAAAATCTCATATGCTGAAAACTTGCTTCCTGCCTGGTGACACTATTTTAGGAAATGCTGGAAACTTTAAGGGATGCGTTTAGCTAGAAGTAGGTCACTGGGGGACAGGTCCTTAGGAGTATATTGTCCCCATCTGTCTCTCTCCATTTCCTGTCTGCATGAGGTGAGCAGCCTCTGCCACATGCTTCCATGATGCTCTCCTTGGCTTGAAACCCTTACTGTGGGCCACAGTGAATCCCCCTCCCTTGCGTTGCTTCTAGCAGACATCTCAGTAACACAGTCTGTCTAAGATAATCTCTTTCCAAGCCTTACCTCTAAAGGTTCTACTTCCCAATAGACCCACAGCAGGGGCCCAAGCCCTTAACTACACACAGGTGCTGGAGGACACTTATTGAAATCATAGCCACCACAGAAGAAATGTCTTGACAGCATGGCAGCCATGAGAACAGTAGGGCTTGGAGTGTCTTCCCATGTAGGAGCTTTACAGCACTGTCTGGCAGTCTGCCCTCTGACAGGAAGCTGAATGGAGCCTCCCGCCAAGCCCACTCCTTACACTCCTTCTTTACGTCTTTGCTTTTTAAATGACCAGCTTTCACAGTTCCTAACAACTCACGTCACAGGAGGTTACTGGTGACCTTTAGGCAAAGCGGGAAACCCCAGGACTTGTCTGAGTCTTTGGCCATCTGGTAGTCCACCAAGAAACACAACAGGAACCCATGACTTGGGGAAGGTGGGGCTTATGAGGGGGAAGGAGTGAGTAAGAGAAGGGGGAGCGTTAGGTCGTGAAAGAGCTACTGGGGGTGACCAGGGCTCAGCTCCACCTGGTGTTGGAGCACTTGCCCTGAACTCTAGGGGAGGGTGGTAGGAACCTGTCCCTTTTTATGGTGGTCAGGATGGGTTTAAGGCCTAAGTCAGGCATAGGTACAGTGGAGTGTGTGTGTGTGTGTGTGTGTGTGTGTGTGTGTGTGTGTGTGTGTGTGACATCAAGCCTTAATCGGCAGGTAAGATTGTGTTTAATTACCCAGAGGGGAGGATTGACATGGACAAGCCTGTCTGTCTAACTAGAGTAGTTTCTTCAGCATCTGTCCTGGGTGGGTGCTGAGGATTTGGTATTCACGGCACAGACTCGGTCCATGTTGTTTACACAGAGCTCTGAGTACAGAGATGTTGGCTACCTTCCCTTCATCACCTCTCTGAAGCCTTTTCTGGCTGCCCAGGGAAGGGCTGGCTCCTCCGCTGCACTGGTTCCATTTAGGACAGCCCCCCCCCCCCCGTGTGTGCCCACCCCAACAAGCACATGCTTTCATCCGTCTGCTCTCAGCACAGAGACTCCCAAGAATAGCAATGCACCAGTTGTATCCTCAGCTCTGAAGCCAGAATGTGGAAGTTTTCAGTAAATGGATTTTGAGAGGTTGGCATTTTGAGAAAGAGAGAGAGAGGGGGGGGGGGGAAGTACTCTTTAATTGTGGCAAAATACACAAAGCATAACCATTTTATGCTTTCTATTTTATTGTTTCCAAGGCAGTGAGTGGCACTGGGCACATTCCCATTGTTGTTGGGCCTCACCATCCTTCACGGGGTCTTCATCTTCCCACGTGGAAACCACCTTCCCTCAGCACTTCCTCCCACCCAGGCTAACCCTACCCCAGCCTTTGGTCCCCACTATCTACTTTCTGTCTGTGAGTGTGACTCCTCTAAGTTCCTCATATAACAACTCCCTCGCACACCATTTGTCTTTTTGTGGCCAACAGGAAATGGATTTTGAACAATTGAGAGCTGGTTCTCCGGGTAGCCCAGATCACGTGAGCCACAGAAACCCAGGCCAGATGAGCCCTTGCTGTTCTTCAAAGGGCACCCAGTGACACTGCCCAAGCCCCTCTCAGGTCCTCCCTGGGTGTTGGGATTTTTCCTTCCCTTGAACCTGTGGGATGCTGCCAGTGTCTCTCCCTGTGCACTTAGGTGGGCTTGGAAGCCCAGTACCCCATAAACCTTCCAGAGGGCTGACCCATCTCTGACTCACATACCTTGCGAGTCCAGGCCTGGCCCCTTAGTGGGTTTTCGTCAAATTGGGTTGGACTTGCCGTAGGACCAGAGGCAAAGGTGAGTAGATGCAGAATGAGGCTCCGCCCTGCTGTGAAAGAGCTGTTGTGGTCCGCCTCTGCTCCCACCACAAGCTCCACCTCCCAATCCTGGGGACTCTGAGAGGGTCCATGGACAGCTGCCTGCACCAACATCCCCTGCAGCAGTCCAGTTGTCCAGTCAGTGTGGTAAGGGTAGCCTCCTTGGTGTTGGGACAGACTGAGTGATGTTGATCTGGTGGTTGACTGTCCCCAGAGCTCTGAGCACACACGTATTGGCATCTGTTCTTACATTCTGCACTCTGCTCCTTCCTGAGTGTGTTTTTGAGGTGGCCCTGGGTCACTTGATTCATTATCAATCTGCTGTCTAGAACAGACTTTGCTTACTGGAATATTAATTGTATGCACTAGTCTGTTTTCTGTTGCTATAAAAATGTTGCACAAGGCTGGGTACTTTAAAGGGAGAAGGGGGTTTAGGTAGCTTACATTTTGAAAACTGAAAATCCAGACAGCATGGTGCTGGTTCTGCTGGGCCCTCGACTCCCACCCTAGCTGCTTTATCTCATAGCAGATGACTTTGTGGGAATGCATATTAGAGAGACTCAGTGGAGAGCCGGGGTCAGGGGCCAAGCCAATCTTGCCTTTTTAGAACTCTATCTCAGAGAACTAACAGGGGGTCCCAAAGGAACTAATTAATCCCTTCCAAGGAGGGCATCCCCCGTGACCTAATCATATCCCACTAGGCCCCTCTTCTTAAAAATCCAACCACCTCCCAACAGCACCTCCTGGAGGACCAAACTTTCAACAGTTGAACCCTTGAACCTTGGGGAACAAATGACATCCAAACCATGCCACTGCACATTTAATCAGTGGAACACCTGCACAGTAACTCCCAGTGTGACGAGGGGACATCCAACTCCCACGCACTGAGAGATGGACGAGCATGGAGTTCTCAAGGGGCACAGCACATGTGGGGTCGCCTGGTCCTTCTGGGGACTTTTAGCTGAAAGCAAGAACAAACCATCAAGGGTCAGGAGAGCCGCCACAGCTCTGCACTGCTTGGGTTTGGTGATGTCGTGAGCCTGGGAAACTGGAAGATCACTCCTATTTTATTGCCAAGGAACTGGGGTTCTAGAGCTGTTGCATAAACAAACTAAGGGGGACAGTGGGAGTCCATGTGAGGTGTGGGTGACTATGATGAGCCCTCTAGGACAGAGACCCAATGCCATTCCTGTTCATGTTGTCTTCCTCACTGACCCAGCCTGTGGGGGAATTGGTCTAAGGATCTGCTGAGTTGCTTGGTACAAAGCTGCCTTCTTCAGGCCACACTAACAAATGGCCAAGAAGATCCCTTCCAGGAGCATCTGATCTTACATTTGCATCTTTCCCCTCAGCCCTTACATTGGCCAAGAGCAGCTGAACAGCGTCAGTTTGATCCAAAAGCCAACTCAGAATCTCTCTGGGACAGCTGTTCAGAGCATGCGCACAGGTACAGACCAAACCATGGGCAGGTGTAGGGAAGGGGGCCTTCCAGGTGTCACTGCTTCTCAAACCACCTCTTCAGTTTGTTTCCCAAGGAAAGTTCGCAGTCATTTTGCTTTAAAGATTCTTCTCAAAACCTTTTGGAGTTGGGAAGACCTCTCATAGTCAACATCTGGCCGTGGGTGTTGCGTGAATCTGGAAGGGGATAGTTTTGAGGAGGTGGTTCCCAAAACTGTGGTCGAGTACGAGGAATATCAGCTCTGCTGCTTCTCATGGGCTCACAGTATCTCTCAGTGCTCCCCAGAAAGCATGCACATGGAGAGCAGCATGCTTTTCTCTACAAGTTCCCAGTCAAAAAACAAAGACAGAGTGCTAAGAAGAGTACTGGTCCTTGAAGGATGTTAATCCAGAAGCCAGATCTGAATACAGTCACATCTCTCTTCTGTTAACTAAACTGCCAGACTCAGGCAGTTTCCTGGGGGAGGAAAGATGTGAATTGATTGTGGTGGTCAGTCACCAGTGGGGGATTTTCCCACCGGAACTAGGATAGAAATCGTGTCTGACCCAAAGACTCCAGCTTTTCAGGAACAGCTTTAGGCTTCTGCTTTGGGTCTCCTTCAGACACAAATGGGAAATATTCCAGGACATGGAAGCTGGACCATCAGCCCCTGCACTTTGGTGAGTGGTGGAGACCCAGTTAGCTTTCCTTTATTAGAACACATTTCCGAGAGAAGTCAATTTTAAAAAAGGAAAGGCAGGAAGACAGAGGCAAGGCCATCTCTGTGAGTTGAGGCAAGCCTGACTTACATATCAAGTTCTGGCCCTGCCAGGGCTACATAGTAAGACCCTGTCTTAAAACAAAAATAAAGGAAAGGAAAGGTTTATTTTTACCCATGACTTCAGAGGTATCAGTCCAGGTTGCTGGGCCCTGCTGCTTCGGGCCTGTGACAGCAGAGTGTATCATAGTGAGAATGGGTGATGGGTGAGGCCTGTTCACTGATGAGTCAGGAAGCAGAAAGAGCGACCAAGAGACTGTTGTTGAGTACTCCCTTCAAGAGCACACATGCAATGACTCAATTTCTATACACCTTTAAGGCACCTTCTCTTAAAGGTTGCATTCCCTCCAGTAGCAACACACAGTAGCAACAAAGCTTTCAACTCATGGTCCTTTGGGGGAACATTCAAGATCCAAGCTATTGCAAGACTCAGAGGGGAAGACTTTGCTGTCTCATCTCTGTGTTTAGTTTCAGTTGTCACTGACAGGCAGTACAGCCCCCACTTACCCTTCATCTTGTCTCAAGACCAGTGCAGGAAAAAAGTTAAGTGAGCATAGAGGCTCATGCTTATAATCCAAGTGCCTCAAACACGGAGGCAGGGTGATCAAGCGTTTGAAGCCAGTGTTGGATTCATAGTGAGTTGGAGGCTAGCATGAGTGACATAGAGAGATCATGTCTAAAAAAAATGACAAGGACTAGAGGTTTAGCTCAGGGATAGGACACTTGCTTAACATGTACAAGATCCTAGGCTCCATCTCTAACCCAATGGGGAGGGCTTCTGGTGAATTACTCAGAAAACAGACCCCGTCCATTGGCCATCCTGCCATGGTCTCCACTCTTGCAGCCCGGTGTTGACCAACAGTGACCCAGTTGTGTTTCAGTCAAATACGTGCTCAGCGATCTGTTCCCAGGCCGATGGGAGATTTGCTGTGAGCTGATCTTGCTTGAATGTGTGTGCTTTTTGTTGGGTTCCAACTGATTTGGGAGGAAAACCCAAATATGGTGCTTTGATTCTGCCTCCAGAGTCACAGAATAGCTGGAGGAAGAACTATGCGGAAGAACCCAACCCAGACATCGTGTGTGTGACATTGAAGCGTGATCCACATCGTGGTTTTGGTAAGAGGGTTCCTTGAAGGGGAGGCCCAGGCTCTGCTCTGCAGAGGGCAGATGAGCACCGTTCATCCCCCGAATCTGGCCTCTTCCCTTCTACCTTGCATTTTTCAATAATCCCTTCCATTTTTTCCTTCCTTTCAGTGCCCGCAAAGAATACAAAGACTTTTGGGATGAAGGATTCCTTGCAAGTGCTGATGTATTTTCAGGGTTCATCTAAGCATGAGATAAAAATAAAATCCTCTCTCCCCACACACTCATGCTGACCTTTCTCCAGTATAAATAGGTTCTTAGTGATGTAGAGGAGTAGGCAATCTTTTGTATCTTCAATTATCAGTCACATTTAAAAATACTCAAAACCACGTAAGAAAAAAAAAACGACACTGAGACAGGGTATTTGGTTAGAAATCATCTTTTCTGGGAATGGGGAGATGGCTCCGTTGATGAAACGTTTGCCATGCAAATGTGACAACAGAGTTCCAATCCCCAGCACCCACATCAAAAAGTTGGGTGTGTATGATATTATGCCTGTAATCCTGGCACTCAGGAGGCTGAGCCAGGGATTCCTCCAGCAAGCTGACTAACGAGACCAGCTGAGTCAGTGAGCTTTGTGTTCAGCGAGAGACTGCCTCGATAAAGTGGAGGGGCTGAAGCCCCCGTGACAGCTCACAAACGTCACTTCAGTCTCAAAGGGTATGACACCTTATTCTGGCCTCCACAGGCATTACACACACGTGGTACAGAGACAGACATGGAAGTAAAACACCCATAAACATACAAGAAAAAGAACTTATACAGTAATTAACAATCCAGGAAGACATCCAGAGTCAAACTCTGGGGCTCCCCATGCACACACATGCGCGCGCGCGCACACACACACACACACACACACGCATGTGAACTTGCACACATGGAAAACACACACACAGATGGGTGCGGGCAACCTCATCTCCTGCCACAAAGTCGGCTGTGTTGGTGGGCTGCATTTCCAGCTTCAGCTGTGGGTGGTAAAGGGAGCAGTCCGCTTTCTCCGGGTGTCTCACTCAGATACAGTTATCAGCCGTGCCACTTGGTAGCTGTGTGAGCCACGGAGTCATTAAACATCATCTTATTGTTAAATGTCATCTTGGATTACAGGTTTTGTCATTAACGAGGGAGAAGATGCAGACCAAGCAAAGCCAGGCATTTTCATATCTTCCCTTATACCTGGGGGACCAGCAGAAAAGGCTAAAAAGATCAAACCAGGTATACCTTAAGTTAAATGGCCAGAGATGTTTTAAGTTACCACCTTTCTTATTTCCTTACTGGGGTTATTGAGGCTTTTTTTTTTCTCCAGGAGGGAAGATACTAGCCTTGAATCACATCAGCCTGGAGGGCTTCACATTCAACATGGCTGTTAGAATGATCCAGAATTCTCCTGACAACATAGAATTAATCATCTCTCAGTCAAAAGGTACATTTCATCTCACTTTCCGCAACGGAACAGCCTCCTCTGTTACCACGATGGGCACAAAACACAAAGCTCCTTGTAGGTCTTTTGTGTAGCTCTCGGCAAGCATGGCCCTGGCTTGCAAGGAGGCAACCCAGTGGCACAAATCAGTACGCTGGGCAGTCTCAGGGCTAGAGCGAGGTCCCGTGATTACACGTCTTTCTGGAAGGCAGCAGCCTCCTCATTAGGTATGGCTGGATACACCCAGTGTATATGTGTTCCTGCCCACTCTCCTTGGATGACAGGGAGGGAATTCTTATTGACACTCAAGTCCAAGATTTCTGCCATTGGGCTCAGGTGGAGCAGTCAGCTGTGCAGCTGGGAAGGAGAGGGAGATTGTCTTCAGTCCGCATCTGCACAGCAAGCACAGTGTTCTTGCTGGTGTAGCGCCAGCTCAAGCTGTAAAGTCCCTGTTGTGGAAGGGTTGTTTCCTTCATCCTTTGACTTGAGAACAACAGCTAAGCAACAAACACTTAGGCCAAAGAACAATATTATGCTTGTTTGGGGGCGTTTTGATGGGGTTCTTGATAGAGGGACTGGAGGGAGGCTGACATCCTCTCACCCTGGTTACTAAGGACCACTGATGCTTTTTTGGCGTGGTGATCTGGTAAATTACGCGAGGTGGCCTGCAGACTCAGGCTCATCTCTAACTGCAGACATCTCACCTTCTGTGCCCTTGGAAAACCAGTGTCACACTTGTGCATGCTGTCACCGGGCGGCTTTCTCTCACCCTCACTGCGGGCAGCTGCACTAGGGTCTTCCACAATGCCTCCGGGGCCAGCCCCAGCAACCCCATCACGCTAGCCTCAAGATCACTGTCTCTGTTGGAGGTTACAGCGCTGACCCCTCTTTCTGAGGCAGGTCTGTAATCTTTGGATTTTTCTTCACACTCTCCACAATGAGGGCATTCAGTTCACTTCTTGTGTTGTCAGGCAATAACACCAGACGATCAAATCACAATTCAGCATAGTCCAAGGACAGATGTTAAAAACTGGTATCCAAAATCTACAGTGTTCTCACCACAGTCTTGTATTAGAATTCCAGACAACAGGTATGCCCACTGTCTGGGGGTTACATGCCATCTCCCTGTGGTGGCCCAGTTACTTGTCAGGAACATGATTTGCTATAGTTGGTATTTCTACTGAGCTGGTCTGTTGCTGGGGGATGAGGTCTAATGATGGTCTCCTGTTAAGGCAGTTGTTCTGGACTGGATATCAGGAGCCAGCAACTAACAGCCCATCATGAGCAGCTATGAGAGTCGATTATAAACTGAGTTGTCATCACCCACAGAAGGTCAGGGTCCTCTAGAGCAGTGGGACCGATAGAATGACTATTTAGTATAAAAGGGGACCTTTTTAGACTGGCTTAAATGATGTAGGCCAGCAACAGTGGCTGTCTGCACCCTGGAGAGGATGAGGACAGTGGCTGCTTAGTCCAGGAGGCTGGGTGCCTCCACTGTCCCATTTGGCACTGAAGGCCTGGAAGATTCCTGGGAAGCTGCTGGTCTTCAGTTCACACTGCAAGGCTAAGGATGGATACTCAGAAGCAAGAAGAGAAGGTCCAGAAAGTAAGCAATGCCACTTTCCCTTGGGTCTCTACATCTGGGCCAAGGTCAGAAGGTGCTGCCCACTCTGAGGAAAGGCTTAGCCCTCAGTTAATCATTCCTGGAAATGCCCTCACTGACCTGCACAACAACTCTTAGCTGATTCTGGATCCTATCAAATTGCCAATCACAATTAACCAACATGACTCCTAGCTTACACTTTTACTGTTAGCTGCTGGCTCCTGATACCCAGTCCAGAACAGCTGCCTTAACTGGAGACCATCACTAGACCTCTTCCCCCAGCAACAGACCTGCTCAGTAGGCTGACTGGGATAGGCTGGCTTTTCAGGTCTAAAGTCCCATCCTCTGCTCCCATGAAGGCTATAGTAGAAAGTGAACAGATGTTTGCAATACTGCCCAAAGGACAGTGACAGTGGACTTCGAGAAAAATGATTAGGAACATGGCATTACAGACTGGCATCCCTTCCCCCGACACTCCATATCAAAGAGATTTGGATAAAGACCAAATTTATTAAATTGAACTCATTGGATATATGAGCTTGTACATTTCCTGGGTGCTAGTAAGCTGTACCAAAGCTGGAAATCTACCTGTGCATTCCCACCTCCAGGTCTGAATGAACTCTGTTAGCCTTTCTCCAACATGCATCTGCCAAGCCACTAATATTGTATTAGCACAATATCAGTAAATACATTTGCTGATTTATATATGCCAATTTGTGTGTGAAGTATACATATGTATGCACATACACATTTATATACACATACAAATCCTCAGTCTATGAATAATCTCTCTTCTACTAATCCTGCAATGTTATGCTAGTGACATATCTATTTTAGATATAAAATCAAAGGCCAGAAATGTTAGTTATCTCACTCCAGGGCTTACCTATTGATCCCTATCTCATGTTTTTTCCTTTGTTCTATGACAGTTAGAGTAAGCGGGAATCCATGCCCAGCCTTCTCTTAGAGGAGCCCAGGGCCTGGCATTACCGAGGATACTGCATGTGGGTCTTTTTGTCACGTGCTGGTAGCAGCTGTGCTCCCCATAGCTTTGCAGAAGGTCAGGGTTTAGAGAAGCCCCGCGTGTTCAATGTGGGATTCAGGACAAACTAGTTCATTCTTTTGATTCTGTTTTAATTCATTCATTAAATAATTAATCTGGTTCTAATTAAACTGAGGTGACACCTTCCTGGTAGCCTGTTGAGAAGATGAAAAGATCTCATCACCCTCTCTTCTCTCCTCCTTTGATCTCCTCCTCCCCTCTCCTCTCCTTCCCTCATCTCTTTTCTTCTCATATCCCTTCCCATCACAAGAATGACAAGAGTTTAATAAAGAGGGGCTGGCATTCTTCACTATCCTTGCTTCCATGTTTTAATAACTGAGTCATGCAAGTGACTTCTATTTACATTTTTGATCACTTCTAGAATCTTCCGTTCATTCTAGATGCAACATTCTTCATGAAATGCTGAATTTATAGCATCCTCTGCAACTATAAAAGCTCTCATCGCTCAAGGAAAATTCTGTGTCTCATAGGATGCTACCAATATGCCAGCCTCTCCAAGCATTGACTTCTTGGCTTGTTTTTATAGGTGTTTGTGGAAATAGCTCCAGTGAAGAAAAGAACAGCACAACAAGTTCTGGCATGTTCTGTACAGACATCCTGAGCAATGGGCACCAGGAAAGAGAGTCAGCACACACATATGACCAGGACAGAAATGTCAGAGGACCGGAATTGGCTCAGGTGCAAAGCTCATCACCCAGGCAGGGGCCTCCACCCTCCCCTCTGTCATTACAGATGCTTATCCTCTTGGTCCACATCCTAGAATACAGAAGCAAGAGAATAGGCTGTGGAGTCCAGGGGAGTGCCCATGTCCTATGCTGTCCTGTGCTCTTGATGGGCCATGTCAAGCAGCTACACATTGCTTAACCTCTTCCTGGCATGGGAAGCAGGTAGAGCTACTCACAGAGGGGGTCAGGGCTCAGGTGGAGCCTCTGGAGTTCCTACTCATTTATTAGAACTGTTTCTGATAATGACAACATGAGGGAATTGATTGATGCTGTAATCACAGCCTTTGGGAGGCTGAGATCAGAGGATTGCTAGAAATATGAGGTCAGCCTGGTCTATGTAGCAAGTTCAAGTCTAGTAAGGTTTACATAGTGAGAGTTTGCCTTAGTCCCCCTTCACTCCCCAAAAAGGAGCTGGACATAGAGTCAGAGAGAATAATAATGATAGCAATAGTCGTCGGCTTATGTGTCTAGCAATATCTTGGGCACTTTATGTGAGCAATCTCACAAAAGCTTGATGACAGTTATATGAGGCAGTTATGACTGTCAACCCCTCCTGTAGTATTTTTACCCAGGGCACAAAAAGAAATGGATTGTGCTAAAGCCTTCAGGGAATTAGTGGTAGATCTGAGCCTGAAATTCATGGTGTTGGACTCCAGAGCAGAAACCATGCTCCAGGCTGCCCTTTAGAAGACTCTCTTCTGCGGGAAACAGCAGAAGGCTCTGTGTGGTGGGAAACCTGCAAACTGGTTTTAGGGGCAGTTGGGAGGGGACTAGTTTAGGAGCACCTGTAGAACCTATATCCTCGGGCTCCTTTGGATCATGTGTCCAGCTTTGTGTCCAGGTAACCAGAGGTGTAGTGGATATTACATAGCCACTTTGGATCTCATCCATGGCAGTTGTTTCATACCTCAAGATTCAACGGTTAGTCCAAACATCTTGCCAAATCAAGGGGTGTGGAGTCTTTGGAAGAGCTGGCACTTCCTTAGTTATATACCAAACTCTTCAGAAACTCTTCTGCTGAAATGATGATTTTCAGTTTACTCAACTCATTTATTTTCCTGTGAGTTAATAGTATTTTCCAACATAGAGTGGGAATCTCAAAGCAAAGAGTGCATGGGGCAGTGGAGTGTGGACAAGGGGAGCATTTTCTGTCTGGAAGTAATGGTCAGCAAGCTTAGCACACCTTGTGGAAACTCCAGGTGTGCCCTTGAGTTTATGTTTCAGCTGGACCTGGCTTTGCATTTCAGTTTTTCCCCACACTAGCTACATCTCTGAGCATCCAGGTAATAACACTCCCTTTATCATATCCACAGGAACTTATTATCACAAAAGTTATTGGTTGTCAGATTGGGAATCTCCTTGCTAAAAGCCTCAAGCCCCTTAGACAGCAATTCAGCATGGGTAGGTGGGTCTCATCACTGTCTCTAGCCACTTGCATTTTAGTGCCAGGTCCTTATTCCCCTTCCTGTTGCCATAATAGAATGGGTAAATTACAAACAAGGGTTTATTTGGATAATGATGTGGCAGCTGGGAAGTCCCAGATCGAGGAGCCACATCTGGTGAAGGTTATTGTGTTATGTCTTGGTGTGGTGGGAGGCATGACATGGGGGAGAGTATGCATGAGTGTCAGAAATAGACAATGGGGACAAATTTCTCCTTTTTATACACAGCCTACTCCCATAGCAATGCATTCATGAGGCTTGTGGCTTCATGACCTAATCACTCTGAAAGTTTCATTTCTTAGTATTGTATTAATGGTAGTTAAATTTAAGGGTGATTGTGGAGGAGATGTTCAAACCGCAGAATAACCCTGGACATAATAGGTATCCAACAAATGTCTTTTGAATAGTTGAATGGATGAACAAGTCATGTAGTTATTGTCACAAGTACCAAGGAAGTTGCCTGGTACATGGTATGATCTTTTTCGTAAATTTCAGCTACTGAAAAATCAACCATAACATGGCCAGTCTTGGTAAGAACGGTCAGAGTCCTGAGGTTTGCTTTTGCCTTGAGGAGTTACTGTGTGTCTGGTAGCCAGCATGCTGTACTTGGCTGCCATCATGTGTTGAATGGTGCAGGAACTACTTGGACAGCTTCAGTTCTAACATGGATGTTTGCCAAGTGAGTACAGAAAGGAGGAATCTACATTTATTCAGGCCCTGCTGTGTGCCAGCACAATCACAGTCACAGTTAGAAGGCGCTCTCAGAGTTATACGGATTAGGAAATGGAGGCCAGACTCAGACAGAGTCCTGCAAGGTCACATGTGAAGGAACTGATAAAGCTGGAGGTGTCTCTCTAGGCTCACGCTTTTTCTGGGTGCATTGCTGCCAGCTCTTAGTAGTGATGAGAGTTGGGTATCTGCAGAAACAGGGCAGGTGCCTCATGGCTCTGTTTTTCTGTTTGTTTGGGGCAGGCCGCTGGTTATTGTCCTCCATCACCTCTAGAAACCAACGCTGGTGAAATCTACTTCGTGGAGCTCGTTAAAGAAGATGGAACACTTGGATTCAGCGTGACTGTAAGACTTGTTAGGGAGCTTGGGAAACAGTAGAATGGTATCCAGGGCATTCCTCTCCTCTCCGATAATGTGCTCATTGTGATTAAGTGCACATTGTACGTAGGGGTACACTGGGCTTTCTGTGGAGAATGAGCATTTGAAGATCAGCGGGGAGATACAGAGCAGCTGGAGGTTGTGCTGTGGGCAGGTTCTAAGGAAGAGCACTAGAAGAAGGAGGTAACGTGAGAGAAACCCGGGTGAAGCAGTCTGGCTCCAAGCTTAAGCTGGACAGTGAGAAAAGGCAGTAAGGTAGAGCTTCATGGATGGAAACCGAAGGGCAGTGGGTGACTCACTGTCATCCCAAGGAGGAAATAAACTTGTGCTACATCGTCCCGGGGCCAGGGCAAAGTTCAGCCTTTGAGGTCTTCACCATGTCTGGCATTTTGCATCTGGCTTTTGATCTCTATTGGCAGATGTCTAAGAAGGGAGATTCCCCATGTAACGAATCACCAATGGGTATGGGAAATGGTGCCCACAAAGGTGGTGCACATAAATTCAGAGGTCCAGGTTGGGGAGGCACTGTTTGTATTAGTGAACACTGAATATGACCCAGTACTTAAGATCTTAGATAGAGCTAGACTTTATTGATGACACTGTTGGAGTCAAAGAAACAGAGTGGAAATTCCCAGCACATAAGGAAATGTCAAAGGCAGTGAAACATTTCACAGGTAACCCAAGTGATGAGTGAGGAGAGCATGCTTTGTTTCCCCTGTGGATCTACAGCAAGGATCTTTGAATTACTTAACTGCCAACACATAAAAGCACTAATTATGAGCCTCTATTTTGTACAACCAGGACATAAGGCTCATAAGTCCATAGTGCTTGAACAGGTTGGGACTAAAATGGTCAATTTGTTCTTGGCTTGATAAAACAATCCTATCATAAGACACCAAACACAGCAATTTCTCATCTAAAAAACTTGCTAAAATTTAGATTATTTAGATATATGCAAATGCATATGCCAAGAGGAGATTGGTGATTTCTTTGGGCTAGCAAAAACACTGATTGTCTTTGGAGAATTTCCATTTCAAAAATAATTACTGAAATGTCTCCCTTAAATCCAAATGACCATTAAACAAATAAAAGACATTCAAACCCAATAAAAGCTACTGGAGTATACAAGCAAGTTAACGGGAAACTTTAGCATTTATAACTGTCAGCTTGGCCAAATATAGCTGGTGTGATACAGAAAAGGGTACTGTCACACTGAGCTGGTGGAAATGTGAATAATTACACGCACATTCACGTTAAGATGCAAGCTGGCAAAATCTACTGTAATGAAAAAAATGCACATATCCCTGGGCCCACAGACATAGAAATGTGAATCCCACTTAGTAAGACTGTGCATGTGGAGGTGTTGAATGCTGTGTTGCTAACAGCGACAAGTGCGTTGAAGAAACTGAGTATGGATCAATCGAGCAAATGTTGCTTGCACTCTGGCACACATGCATAGAATCCCAGCTAATGTCCCCAAGAAAAATGAATCAGGACTAGCTCTGCCCACATGGAAAGGTTTCCACCAGGTACTCACTGAGAAGAAAGCCATATGGACAACACTGACTATGAACCTCTATTTTGTACAACCTAGCTGAGTTGGATTGGTTTGTGTTTGTTAATAAGACACAAAAACTACTAAATAGTATGAAATTAACTTCAGTCTGTTTCCTTAGGATGGGAGAACTGCACTGTTCATGTACAAGTTCAGTATGCTTTTCCAAGCTAGCTGAGGAGCTGGAGAGGTAGAGGACCAAGAGCCTGGAGTTCAGCAAGGAAGGCTAGGCTATGTGAGCTCACAGCAGTGGCCAGATTGTGGGTGGATCATAGGACCTTTCCTGGTGCTTGGCCACTTTGAAGTTTTGTGTTAGCATTGCTAGGAACAGAGTTTCAGGGGACTCTTGAGTCTTGCATAGAATTCCATTAGACCATAGTGTCTGTTAATTACCTTTCCACCACTATAACAAATAACAGAGATACAATCAAATTACAAAGGGAAGAGGTTCATTATGGCCTGCAGTTGTAGAGGTTTCAATCCATGACTGGCTGGCTCTGTTGCTTTGGGACTGTGGTAGCATATCCTGGTGGAAGGATGGGGTGGATAAATCACTCCCTCATGGCCAGGAAGTGAAGGAAAGAGGAAGAATGGGGTCTCATTAGCCTCTTCAAGTGCTCACCCTTGTAACCCAAAGAATTCCCACTCGGCTCCACTCTTTCAGGTTCTACTGATTTCCAGCCAGGAGCTAAGCATTAACACGAGACCTATGAGGGACATTCAAGATCCCAACTAAAACAGAGTGTTCAGCTGACTGGCTTGGCTGTCCATTTTGACTTCTATATGATTATATCAGTATGGAGAACAGTAAAGGGAGGTGTATGAACACACAGTCATCATCATTGTATTGTTAGTAGTGGAGTGGGAAGAACAGACAGGGAAGTATCATTGATAAAATATCCATCTACATGTGTGTTTACATTTATAAAGTAAATCGGAATAGAGAAGCAGCCTCGGGCCTTGATCTTCTGACCTAGGTTCATGCTCTATTGTTAAGTTAAAAAACGAAAAACAAGTTGCAGAGCCAGGCACAGTGGTACATGCCTGTAACTCCACAATCTCAGAGGCAGGAGAGGACCTGGGTTCAATGCCAGAGTTGGCTGAAAAGAAAAAAGAATTGCAAGACACTGGGTAGTTTCAACTTATTTTTCCTCCTGAATTTGTGTTCACAAACAAACATGCAAACATACAAGGTGTGCCAAACACAAGTCCTCAGTCCTTAGGGCAAGCCTGCCTATGCTACCTATTACCTACACAGATTTTGTGCACCATACACAACTCTGGTTACAGAACACCTGCCATGTGCCAACTAGGGCTTGGCTGGGCTTAGTTTTGTCACTTAGCCTGTATTGTTATGGTCTGTGTAAACCTGACCTTCTTGCTCACTGGGGAAGAGAGTTTGTCTGGGTGGATGCAGAAGACTGTCAGAGTGGGCTGTAGTTGGGAAAGGTGGGTTCTCTTGTGAGGAAGATTGGAAGGCACCCAGAGGGGACAGGTGCGTTTTGAGTATTGCCTTTTTTCCATAGGGTGGCATTAATACAAGTGTACCTCATGGAGGAATCTTCGTGAAATCCATCATTCCCGGAGGCCCGGCTGCCAAGGAAGGACAGATCCGACAGGGTGAGGGCCACGTCCTGCTGGGAGTTCTGCTCTCTGTGGTTTTGAACCCTGGCTGAGAGAGACAGCTCAGGCCTTGCTCATGTCAGTTCTGGAGCCCCCTGTCTCTCCAGGGCCTGATTTCTCTGCCTGGGAAGGGGAGGAAGATTTCATCTGCTCCACCCGCCTGATCAGTTGGCAGTGGTCTAAAGTTCATAATAAAAGCTGAGTGGGAAATTTAAGAGAAGCTTGCTGCTGGGGGAGAGCATTGCTTCCTTAGGCAGACAGGGCCGATACTGGCGACCCCACTTTAGCATGGGGAACACCGTGAGCTGTGAGCTTCCTCTCTGCCCTCCCCCAGAAAAAAAGAACTAGGATTGGTAACTCCACTTCAGGTGGGGGATATTGTGAGCTGCCCTCCCCTGGAAAGCAGACTTGGTGCTGGTGACCCCACTTTAGCATAGTGGCACTGTGAGCTTTTTCTCTGCCCTGAATCCTTTCTCATTGCTCTGAAGGAAAGGAGTGATTTTTATTCTTCAAAACTGCCCAACAGAACCAGAAAAAGACACTAAAGATATTATTTATTTCTGTTTCTCCTTGAGTTCCAGTATTTCTAACATCAACTATTGTCTTCCCGACCTTTTTTGAAATAGAAAACATCCTGGGGATATAAATATTACCCCCGAGTGAGTTGAAAATGTTTTAAAAAATAGTTTCACAGGAAAGCAGAAGGAAAGATAAGGGTGACCAGACCTGGCTTGGCCATTCTGTGAGCCAATAATAAATAGACAGGCTTTCATGTCCTTGCTCTGTTGTGTGCCCCAGGAAAGGGCACAGGGCGTGCAGAGAGGCAGCTGATGCTCAGGCTCATGCAGGCTCCCACTGAGCCCAGGGCCACCAGGCAGCTCTGCTTCCGGCCCCATAGGCAGGAGTCTGACAGAGAGTTGTTCTGGCACCCCTGGGGGGCAGGGCACGTGACCGGCATTCCTTCCCCAGGTGACCGGCTCCTGCAGGTGGATGGAGTGAGTCTAAGTGGCCTCACTCACAAGCAGGCTGTGCAGTATCTCAAGGGTCCTGGGCAGGTGAGTACGTCATGACTGGGGACCTTTTCTTACTTCCAGAGCTTTCCAGAAGTCACGGTTGCCTCCAGGTAGGAGTGAGGCAGCCAAGAGTCAAAACAGGACTTTTTTAGTCTACTTTTTTCCTTTCTCACTCTTCATCTTCACACCATTTTTCTATGAGAATGTGAAAACCAGGAGGTAGCAGACAGATGTTCTAAAGTAGAAAACCTCACACCCTTTAAATAGATTTGGAAAGTCGATAGTTGCTTGCTTTGATTTGGGTCTCAGACAGCAGAGCAGAACTGAGAGAGAACACAGGCTCCTGAAGGCTGGCTCTGGCTGTACCCCTGCCTGTGCCAACCCCACTGACCAGGGCCTCCACCTGCACTCAGGCCCTGTCTCTTTTCACACTTTGCCCACAATGACCCCCTTCTCCCTGTTCACGCCCTTGTCTGTCGCCCTGTGCTTACACCCACCAGGACCTGAGCTGGGTTGTTCTGGGTTTCTGTTCACTGCAGTGAGGTAGTGATTCAGTGATGCCGAGAGCTAGAGGTGCTCAGTGTGCCCTCCAGTCCATGTGATGCCCAGGTAGAGCCCCAGGACCGCTGCAGGGCTCTGTCCTCTGCCTCACATTGGAGCCCTTTAATTGTTCCAGCATCCCAAGCCACATATTCCTATGGCTTTCTCTTGGTGGTAAAGGAGTTAACAGGGAGAGAAAAGATTTCAAGGGTCTTCTACCCAACTGCCAGGTACAGTTGCGGTCCCGCCTCACATCTTGAGAAGGAGTCATAATTAATTAACAATGTTTATTAGGCCTTCACTAGTGCACAAGGCTAGAGAAACTATGTTTGGACACTGGCACAAGGACAAGTAGGAATTGCCACTGTGGGGTCATAAGCCTGGTGCTGAATGACGATTGCCGCAGAAGGATGGGGCCAGGGTCAAGTGCCCCAGATGGAAGCTTGGCATTTCTAATAAGCTGCCTGGTGCTGTCCACTCACTGCATTTTGAACCATTTGGGGTGATGAGAGCACGAGATGCTGTGGGGGAAGGATAAGAAAGCAAGCCAGGAAAAATGGAGGAGGGTCGATCAGCATGGGCCTGGGACGCCATTCCGTGGTTTTGGGATCCAGGTGATGGGAGCTATTGGGGCCTTTTAACTGATCATTGCAAGTTCAGCTTTGTGCCTTAGACCAGTGCAGTTGTAGCCATGCTGGGAGTGGACCAAAGAAATGGAAATGGGCCAGCAAGGTAGGTTAGAGCTTGCTGCAGTGTTCCTGGCAGTGGAGAGGGAGTAGAGATGTTCTGAGAGAGTTACTTTTGCTGGAGAACTCATAAGCCTTCAAACCAAATGCGCATGGAGGTGGAAGGGGGAGAGCTGGATGACTCCAAATGTGACCCCTGAGAAGCTAATAGGGGCTGACTCCAAGGCCTGAAGGAGCATATACAAAGGGAAGGATACCTTAAACAGAATGAGGAGGGGAGGGGAGAGTGAGTGCAGGGGGAGGGGGACAAGCTACTGAATGTGCTGACACCGAGGTACACACGTTACGCCCAGTGGCACTTGTCCAGTTACAGTTGGATCTGCCAATCTATATCCCACAAAGAGCTAGACTAGAGATTTGGATTTGAGAATCAAATGAAGCAGCTTATTGAAAGCAGCAGAAAATTAAGAAGCATCTGCGGTTAGCACATGAAGTATAAATTGAGTTTGTCCACTCATCTTTCTAGGTGGCACGGCTGGTCTTAGAGAGGAGAGGCCCCAGGGCTGCACCACAGTGTCCTTCTGATGATGACAGGATGGGAGATGAGCACATGGCTGTTTCCCTGGTAACAGCCAGGTCTGGCAGACCTGTCATTTCAGTGACGGATGGTAAGAGGAGAGAGAATTGAGTGTTACTATTGTCATCATTATATACTTCTTTAGAGGTGTCAAGTCAAAGGAGAAAGGCAGGGGGGCTTCCTCCGGGTTAAATGAAATGTGTGGCTCATGATCATCATCCAAGCCGGTGGAAAACGGTCTTTGAAAAATCAAAATACATTGTGCCCAAATGACTACCATCAGTGATTCTGCTCCCAAGCCTTGTGCGGTTTCCTGATCACCCGCCTAAATATTAATGTTTGTACATGAATATTTAGGGATGAAATGGATATGAAAGGGTCAGGTGTTTTCAGATACAATTAGTTCTACATTCCAGCCAGGCACTTGCAACAGAGATATCCTAGGACTGACTGGGCAGACTGGGAGACAAGGCGGTCAGGAACCTAGCCTTGTTAGCGGCATCCTTTAAAAGGTCACAGCTGTGGCCAGCCTAGAGGGACATACTGCATACTGTGTGATTTTTGTTTCCTGCCAGGAAAGTCCTGTTTCCATAAAACATTATGGGTTGGAGCTTAACCGTATCTCACTCCTTCCATGGGGATAGTTATGGTCATGCTCCAGGAGCTGTGAGGCAGGTTGGAGGCATGGTGATGCTATCATCCTTAAACCAAGGCTGCCCCTTCTCCCCTCAACTCCTCTGTGTACTGCAAGTGGAACCTTTGAACAATGAGCTAAACACTGAGCAGCTGAGGCCAGTGTGCCAATGCAGACGTGCTCAAGCCACAGACCTCACTAAACACTGAGCAGCTGAGGCCAGTGTGCCAATGCAGACATGCTCAAGTCACAGACCTCACTCTCTGCTTCAGCTGTTTTTGTCCTTGCTCCAGTGAAAATTTACAATTCCAGGCTCTGTCACTCTGCTCACTGGTTACCTTCTGAATTAGTGAAGACAAACCAGGAGAAGCCTGGAGGCTCCTGTTGGTTACTAGACTCCCTAGATGCCCAAGGCTGTGTCCATCTCTGGCAGACCAGAAGTGACGGGTCTTATGGTCAGTGTACGTGGCCTAACAAAATGACAGGGAGAACATTCTTCAGAGTTGACTGTCATTGCCCCCGTGATCTGTTTACATTAAACTTCATGCTGCATATACCAAAACACGATTAAGATCCCACATCACAACGTATATGTAATACAAACCTTACTGGATGCTATACGCAGACAGGTGTATGTCTAAAGCTCCATCCTTACATATACATCTAGTTGTTTATATTTAAACACTTAGTATGGCAGCCATGTGTGACTGACTGTTGAGCATTTACAATGTGGCAATCCAAATGGATGGAGGGAACTAGAGTGCAAAGATTTAGTCTACCAGAAGAATGAAGAGGAGCTCGGTCATCTTTTGTGTGGACTCCATACCGATGAGGCAGTAGTTCAGATATGCAGACAGTCTCTAACACAGCATGATGAGGGTGTGAGAGTCACACACATTCCAAAGAGAGCATGCTTTGAGCCTGAGTCTCTCATTAAGATGCTGGGAAGTGGTGGTGAGATGGGGCTTCGTTGCACAGTTGCCAGGGGAAACTGCCCTGGGCTGTGTTGCTAAAGTAGGATGCTGGGGAGGTTAGGTTCATTCAGTGCACTCTTAACACAGTCTTCCCTATAGGCTTTACCAGGATGAAATCCCCTTGCAAACTGAGGAGCACCTGTATTGAGTTAAATACAATATATAATTTAACCTTATTTTACCTGTTTCCTTTTACTTTTAAAACATGTAGCTACCGGAGAGCTTTGAAAGAACCTTTATGGTTTGCATTTACAACTTAGATTCTTTCTGTGGGCAACACTGATCTGTCATGTGTGTGATGGACTCCATCATCCAAGTTAGCACATGAAATACTTCCCTGCAAGACAGAAACCATTCATCTCCTTGACACGACTCGACTCACAGGTCAAGGCCAGCCAGTTGCCACGCACCGAAGGGTCTATTTTCATGAACTCCCGTGTTACAGGTCCTAAGTTTGAAGTCAAACTGAAGAAGAATAGCAGTGGTTTGGGGTTCAGTTTCGTGAAGATGGAGAGAGGAAACTGCGGCCACCTCAAGAGCGATCTTGTGAGGATTAAGAGGCTCTTTCCCGGGCAGCCAGCTGAAGAGCACGGAGCCATTGCAGCTGGTGACATTATCCTGGCAGTGAATGGAAAGTCCATAGAAGGCCTCGCCTTCCAGGTGCTCAGAGCCATGAGGGTGGGGAGTACAGCTCTGGATGTGAGCTGGGGGTGGGGGGTAGAGATCTGGATGTGAGCTGGGGGTGGGGGGGTAGAGATCTGGATGTGAGCTGGGGTGGGGAGTAGAGGTCTGGATGTGAGCTGGGGGTGGGGGGTAGAGATCTGGATGTGAGCTGGGGGTGGGGAGTACAGTTCTGGATGTGAGCTGGGGGTGGGGAGTACAGTTCTGGATGTGAGCTGGGGGTGGGGAGTACAGTTCTGGATGTGAGCTGGGGGTGGGGAGTACAGATCTAGATGTGAGCTGGGGGTGGGGAGTAGAGATCTGGATGTGAGCTGGGGGTGGGGAGTACAGCTCTGGATGTGAGCTGGGGGTGGGGGGTAGAGATCTGGATGTGAGCTAGGGGTGGAGGGTAGAGATCTGGATGTGAGCTGGGGGTGGGGAGTACAGCTCTGGGGATGGGGGGTACAGATCTGGATGTGAGCTGGGGGTGGGGAGTACAGATCTGGATGTGAGCTGGGGGTGGGGGAGTAGAGATCTGGATGTGAGCTGGGGGTGGGGAGTACAGATCTGGATGTGAGCTGGGGGTGGGGAGTACAGATCTGGATGTGAGCTGGGGGTGGGGGGTAGAGATCTGGATGTGGCCTGGGGGTGGGAGGTAGAGATCTGGATGCCTGCTGATGTAAGTCATGTTTCTTTGAGGACCATCCCCACAGAGAATACTTTGGGTTCTTGGAATTTCCACCTGAATCTGGACTTGGAGCCCACAGAAAGCAATTGACAGGATGTGCCCACATGTATTTTCTGTCTCAGTTTTAAAATATCTGACCTTGAGTAAGCATTGCTCTCCAGTAGTCCCCTCAGTGAACCTGGACCTAAAACCCGGCTTGTGTGCTAGCTAAAGGTCTCTACGTTCTAGGAGGTGAGGTGAAGCTGGAGGGACTAAGGACAGTCCCTTTCCACTCTCCCTGAGATTCATGGACTGAATATGGAGCTTTGCATGCACAGTGTAGCATAGACTGTCCCACCTGTGGTCAGAAATGTGAGGGGCTGGAGAGATGGCTCAGTGGGTAAGAGCACGTACTGTTTCACAGAGCGCCTGAGTTTGGTTCTCAGCACCTGTGTCCAGGAGCTCACAAATTCCTGTAATTCCAGCTCCAGGGGATCTGATCCTTTTTATTTTAAAATCTCTGCAGGCACATGCATTCACATGTACATACTCACACAGAGACACACAGGTGTAAATATAGTTAAAAATAAAAACAATATGATAGTGAAGGTGTGAGAGAGAGACTTGTAATACAAAATGCCAAGGAAATGTCTGTGTTAGTTGGAATATTGGCAGAAAATAGTCATTTGAAGAGACTTTAATAATGGTGTGAGCATATTGTTGGGAAGTTAGAGGTGAGTATGGTGATGTGGAGTACAGCTATCCACCTTTCCCAACTCCAAAGGGGATGGGAAGGAGCAGCTACCCAACCTCAGAGTCAGAATGGGTGACAAGGGTTCACTGGCATGGCCCCAGGCCTTCACTGAGGGACGTAATCATCCTGTGATGACTCAACAAAGGGAGCCAGGAGCAACACCACTTCCCTCTCTTCTCTGTCCCTCGCTCCAGCCCAGCCCATGCAGCTGCTTTATGCAGCCCACACAGGGCATGCCAAAGCAGGGTGTTCAAAGGTAGGAAGCAGCTTGAGTGGGATGGGGGGGTCTGTGCAGTTCCCGGAACCACATGAGTTTAGATGAGAAGGCCTGTCTTCGGATGTTTGAGTGACCCAAGTGCAGATCTCTAAGCCACTTCTGGGCAACTGCAGTCCCAAGGACTGTAGATATGAGGGGCAGTGAGGAGACTGCACATCCTCAGGGGTCCTGATGGGGTGAGAAAGATAGGAAAACCACAGACGCTACAGAGGATGAACCATGAAAGAAGAGCCCAGGCTTTTGTGTACATACCCAGGTGCCAGGCTGTGAGTTTTCTGCCACTGTGACAAAATGCCCGAGAAAACTGACTTGAAAAAGGGAAGTTTGGCTTTGTCTCATAGTTTCAGGGGTTTTAGTCCGTGATTGTTTGGTTCCACTGGCTCAGGGTCTCTGGTGAAGCAGATTTTATGGTGGGGAGTGTGTGGCAAAGTGAAGCTTCTCTCCTCATGGCAGCTGAGGTGGAAAGAAAGAGGGAGGGAGGGAGGAAGGGAGAGAGAGAAAGAGAGAGAGAAGAGAGACAGAAAGAAGAGACAGAGAGGAGACAGAGACAGACAGAAATAGAGATAGAGACAGAGAGACAGAGAAAAAGAAAGACACAGAGAGAGACCCAATATCCCCTTCAAAGGTACACCCCAACTAGGCCCCACTTCCTGTAGATCTCATCACCTCCCAACAGCACCATGAGTTGGGGACCAAACCTTTGTCACATGAGCCATTGGAGGACATTCCAGATATAAACTTGAAGAATATAATCAATGGCAAACCTGGGCAACTGAGGGGACATTGTGGAGCATCTGGATCAGAGGTTCTCCAGGAGGCTAGATGTTGCCTCTTGTGGGACATTTGGTGAATCCTGAGACAATTATGGTTGTTACAACTGATCGGTGCTGCTGTCATCTTGTGGGTAGAGACTAGTGATGCTGCCGAACACCCTTTGACACACAGGGCATGGGTCCCAACAAAGAATTATCTAGCCCCAAATGTGGAGAAGGCGGGGAGGTTGAACGATCCTGGTGTGGATAGGAAATGGAAACTGGAAAGGCACTGTGTGCTCCGGCAGAGAGAGGGTGGCTTGAACACAGGTTCGGGACTGGGGAAGCTTAGGCTGTGTGACAAAAATGAGCAGCGGGAGAGAGCAGTTTGAAGGCAGTGGTAGGCAAATGCAGGTTCTGTGATCTGTGTGGTTGGGGTGAGGAGGGAGGCGGCTCAGCAGGAGAGTGGTTTGGAAAGATTACCCCTGGGTCATGTAGAAGGAAGCAGGCAGGGTCATGAGAGAAGGCAAGGATCAGAGATGACATCATTGCAGTTCCACAGGGGAGCAGCTCTAGGGCCTCAGTCTCATTAGGAAGAGATTCCCAAAGGCCTCTATGTATTGCTGCTGTGAGGTCCCAAGATGTTGTTGGTGGCTCTTGGCTCCTGGGTGTTTGGGGAGTTAAGCTTACAACGGTGTTTTCCCAAGTTCTCTGGAGCCAAGCTATAGGTCAAGGCAGGGGAGGTGGTTTCCTGGGAGCAGTGAATAGCACAAAGCAGCAGCTCCCAATGAGGCCACCCCAGACTTGACTGTGACTGGGTTTCTTGTAGGAAGTGCTCCATTTACTGCGTGGGGCTCCAGAGGAAGTGACTCTCCTCCTCTGCCGACCCCCTCCTGGGACACTACCTGAGTTGGAGCAGGGATGGCAGGTAAGACATGGGTCCTTATCTCTCCTCACTTATCAGCCACTCACTTTGCAGCCTGGTGGTCCCGAAAGGGCCATCACTACTTTTTTTTGGGGGGGAGGGGGGTGGAACAACACCAGCCCTTTCCACTGGGGCAGGAAAGCATCTGCCCCTCGAACCTTAGTGCATCTATTTCTCTCCCTGTTCCCATTGCTCCCCCCAATGGGGCCTCCTTATAGATGTGTAGGAAGTGGTTAGACTTTGGTCATCGAAGTTCTAAGCTGTGTCCTCTGGCATCCTGAGCACAGAACTAAGGCAAAAGAATTTCCTGGAGGAGTTTCCACACTGAGGAATAAAATGTATACCCACCTACCTAAAGCCTGAAACAGACAAGTAGGACTGGGGCAGAGGTCAGAGCCACAGGGACTACAGAAATGTGGGGGCTTTACCTGGATGTGTGTATTAGTCTGGTTCTCCAGAGAAACAGAACAAAGAGAAAGATAAACGATGGATGGATGGATGGATGGATGGATGGATGGATGGATGGATGGATGGATGGATGGGTGGGTGGGTGGGTGGGTGGGTGGATGGATGGACAGACGGACAGACAGACAGATAGGATACTTAGTGTAAGGAATGAACATATAGTTCTGAGGTTGGCCAGTGTGAACTCTACAAGGCCAACCAGCACGCTGGAGACCTGGGAAGTTCAGAGTGGCGCAGAGAAGGGCAGGTGGGGCAGAGCAGCTGTGAAGGTGGCAGTTCGTGAACACAGGTTCTGGTGGTGAGCTGTGTGGTGTAGGCAGGGTGGTAGTCTGGAGGTGGGATTCCCTCTTTCTGGGTGAAAACTATTCTTCATTCCCCAAGACTTCTGCTGATTGGGTAATGTTTACTGGCGACTACCTTCTTGGTCTCTGGGAAATTGACTCTTTGACAGAGATTTGAGGACAGGGAGCCTATGGGCCTGACCCACTGGAGCATCACCTGTGTGGGTCAGGGAGCTGTCCTCAGCAGAGGAGAAGGTCAGTGTACAGACCTAACAGGGGCCTTGGCTGACTCTACAGGGAGCTCTGGAGCTGAGATGGCCCCTGGCACCTGTCTAGAATAGCACACTCACATTGGAGTATGCACTGGTGTTAGGGGTGAACCCTAACTTTACTGAAGCATCTCCCTTAAGCTGAATGCAGCTCCTGGGTGGTGAGAAAGTATGGCCATGAGCCACCAGCTGCTTTCCCTGAGCACATGGAGGAGAAGCGATAGTTCCTGATACCACAGAAAACGGAGATGCTTTTAGTACAGAAGTCTATCAAGAAGCTGTTTGTGAAGAACAAGTATGAGGTCCAGGCTAGAAAAAATGAGTACATAGACTTATATAAAGGCATGGAATGGTGGAGTCCATCCTCTCCTTGGAATGTGAAGAACTATAAAAGCATGGAATGGTCGAGTCCATCCCCTCCTTGGAACATGAAGAACTCAGCACTGAGAGGTCTGGTATACAGGGCTGGGGCTGAGGAGAGGGGCATGAGAAGAGGTTGGACCAGGCAGCAGTGGGCATTTCGTACACAGAGTGTGAGTGAGGGTGCTTCCATTAAGCAGGATGTACCAGTCTGAAGGCTGTTCCTGAAGGCTAGAGAGGGAAAAGGGCAGAGAAGTGCCCTGGGGATTCAGGAAAGAAATTACTGGAGACATTCCCCTCCAAGTTTGCCACAAGGTAGAGCAAAGGAGTGGATGGCAGGTAGGTGAGAGGTGAGTGGGGTCCGGGGTACAGGCTGACCAGTAAGAGTGTGTGGGAGAGGGAGGGTTCTTATCTAATGGGTTGCTGTGAAGTCAGGGGGTAGTGGGAGAAAGTTGGTGGGGACTTGAGAAAATGGAAGATCATCTGTAGGAAACAGAACTGATGCTGAGAAAGGTTATTTGGAAGCCTTGCATGAGCACGGGCATCTGCAGCCACATCTCTGGCATTCCTAGGGCCAGAGGCCTGGCAGCAGCTGGGAGGGCCGCACAGGTTCACTGGGAACTGGGCAGAACTTGCACTGTGTGCAAGTAACAGAGGTGGAAGCTGAGGAGTGCAGGGGGAAGGTGGGGAGCTTCTTTGAGAGAGAAAGAGTGATGCTGGGGAGGAGGCAGAGTCCCCGGGGAAGTGAGGATGTAAGTGTTGGGAAAACAAAAGGCATTGGTGATCACAGGAAGCTTTGACTGACAGCTGCAGGAGGGTGTCTGGGGTGAAGAGAGAGCAAGAGCTTGAAGGGAGATTCATCGGAAACCGCTCTGTCTCTTTATTTTTTAAAATCTCCATTTCAGATTTTTATTTTCCTTATACCCTTTATACGAGGCACAGTCTACCAGCGAGGGACTGGTTTTGATTTATAATTCAAATGTGTGTCTTTAGGGGTATTCCTTTCTCTTGGAAGGGGTGTGGGGGGATATGCTACCACAAATGCTCACCCAAGGGAGGATCCTTGGTGGGGGATGCGAAGCTTTCTCTGCTCAATGGACCGGGGCTGGGAGTTCAGCCCTGTGCTCTGTGATGGAAGGGAGTTGGTTGTAGGGTGTGAATGCTGACCTAATTTTCAGGAAAATGTAAAATCCTAATTTCCATACAGTTATAAATATTAACACATGTGTAACCCATTCAAAGAGGGAACCAGGCAGATGTAAAAATGGTTCAAAAGAGATGTCAAAGACCAGCATGTTCATTTATGGAGTTGAAAAAAGTTTCCACATCACTAGGTTTCCAGCTCCCCAAATGCTCCCCACCCCCACAATTCCGGCCATCCTTTCCTGCATTCTCTCTCTTCACTCCATCTCCCTCAAGCCTGATCCCCACTCCCCAAGTCCACCCATAAAATATATTCTATTTCCTCCTCCCTGGGAGATCCCTGTATCCTCTCTAGACCCCTCCTTTTTACCTAACCTCTTTGGGTCTACTGATCATAGCTTGGTTATCATTTACTTAACTGGCAATATCCCCTTATAAGTGAATATATACCATATTTATCTCTCTGGGTCTGAATTACCTCACTCAGGATAATTTTTTTCTAGTTCTATCCATTTATCTATAAATTTCATGATGTCTTTTTTTAAAAGCTGACCAATATTGCAATACTTCATTATGTAAATATACCACATTTTCTTCATCCATTCTTCTGTTGAGGAACATCCAGATTGTTTCCAGTTTTTGGCTTTTTTTTTTTTTTTTTTCTGAGACAGGATTTCTCTGTGTAGCTTTGGAGCCTGTCCTGGAACTTGTTCTGTATACCAGGCTGGCCTTAAACCTCACAGAGATCCACCTACCTCTGCCTCCTGAGTGCTGGGATTAAAGGCGTGCACCACCACCACGTGACAGTTTTTGGCTATTATGAATAAAGCGGCAATGAATATGGTTGAGTAAGTGTTCTTGTGGTATGACTGAGCATCCTTTGGGTATATGCCCAAGAGTGGTATAGCTGGGTCTTGAGGTAGATTGATTCCCAACTTTCTGAGGAACCACTGTATTGATTTTTATAGTGGCTGTATAAGTTTGCACTCCCACCAGCAATAGAGGAGTGTTCCCCTTGTTCCACATCCTCTCCAGCACAAGCTATCACTTGTGGTTTTGATCTTAGTCATTCTGACAGGTGTAAGATGGAATCACGGAGCTATTTTGATTTGCATTTCCCTGATGGCTAAGGATGTTAAACATAAGTGTTTCTCAGCCATTTAAAATTTGTCTATTGAAAATTCTCTGTTTAGATTTCTTTCCCACTTTAAAAAAAAAGATTTATTTATTTATTATGTATACAGTGTTCTGTCTGCATGTATGCCTGCACACCAGAAGAGGGCACCAGATCTCATTATAGGTGGTTGTGAGCCACCATGTGGTTGCTGGAAATTGAACTCAGGACTTCTGGATGAGCAACCAGTGTGCCCTTAACTTCTGAGCCATCTCTCCAGCCATGTTTCCCACTTTTTTAATTGGATTTTTTTTTGACATCTAGTTCTTTATATATTTTGAATATTAGTCTTCTATCAGAAGTAGAGTTGAAATAAGTCTTTTCCCATTCTATAGGCTTCGTTTTGTCTTATTGACAGTGTCCTTTACCTTACAGAACCTTTTAAGTTTCAGGAGGTCCCATTTATTAATTGTTAGTCTTATTGGTGTTCTGTTCAGAAAGTTGTCTCCTGTGCCAATGTGTTCAAGGTGTTCATATGTGTGTGGATTTATGTCTGGGTCTTCAGTTCGATTCCATTGATCAACGCGTCTGCTTTTATGCCAATACCATGCAGTTTTCATTACTATAGATTGTAGTATAACTCAAAACCAGGAATGGTGGGACATCCAGCAGTACTTTTATTTTTCAGGACTGTTTTTGCTATCCTGGGTCTTTTGTTTTTCCATATGAAGTTGAGAATTGTCCTTTCAAGGTCTGTGAAGAATTGTGTTGGAATTTTGATAGAGATTGCATTGAATCTGTAGATTGCTTTTGGTAGGATGGTCATTTTTACTATGTTAATCCTACTGATCCATGAGCCTGGGAGATCTTTCCATTTTCTCACATCATCTTCTATTTCTTTCTTCACAGACTTGAAGTTTTTAATCATATAAGTCTTTCCCTTGCTTGAGCAGAGTTATCCAAGATATTTTATATTATTTGAGGCTATTGTAAAAGGAGTTGTTTCCCTGATTTCTTTCTTTTCTTTCCTTTTTTCTGTTTTTAGTTTTTTGAGACAAGTTTCTTTGTGTAGCTTTGGCTGTTCTGAAACTAGCTCTGTAGACCAGGCTGGCCTCGAACTCACAGAGATCCCCCTGCCTTTGCCTCCCAAGTGCTGCAATCAAAGGCGTGTGCCACCAATACACAGCCTTCCCTAATATCTTTTTCTGTGTTTGTCATTTGTATATGAAAGGGCTACTGATTTTTTTTTTCGTGTTAAACTTGTATCTAACCACTTTGCTGAAAGTATTTATCAGCTGTAGGAGTTTCCTGGTAGAATTTTTGGGGTCACTTATGTATACTATCATATCATCTGCAAATAAAGATACTTTGACTTCCTCCTTTCCAATTTGTATCCCCTTGATCTCCTTCAGTGGGATTATTGCTTTAACTAAGATTTCAAGTACTATATGCCTCATGGCATTGCCAGGTTGACTCCACAGAACTATTCTGGTTTCCATGTTCTTTCTTTGCATCACTTTCTTGCATTTTGGGGACATTAGTAATTAAAATGAACCCAAGCACCGCAGTACTATATAGCTGATTCAGCCCGAGAAAAAGTAGTTGGTGATATGGGCAGGTAGTGTACACAGCATGGAAGCACTGGACAAAAGGGAGGGCCCATGTACCGAGCAGGATGTAGCAAGAGGACAGTTTGAGGGTTTGTCATGCTGCTCAGAGCAATGTGCAGTTTTTAAAATTATGTATTAATGATTTCTAGACTTTTCTGCTTTAACACTTTTGACTCCAGTAAGTGAAATCTTGGAGAACAAAATTAGGGGTAAGAGCAGCTACCATATATATATTTCCATTAAAAACAGTGCTCAGATTCACAGCTCTCAAACTAGGGTACTTAAAGACAAGGATCCGTATGTTGCCCAGGGAACAGTCACAGTATGGAGACCCTGACTGTAGAGAGGCTGATTGCAAAGTCTCTATTTATAGCTCAGACCTAAGAGCACCTGGAAAAATTAATGATTTTTTTTCCAAAAAATTGTTTTAATTTTAAAAACTATATGCATGTGCATATGTCTGCCTGTGGGTAAGTGCGTATGAGTGCAAGTGCCTGCAGGTCAGAAAAGGCCATCAGATCCCCTGGATCTGGAGTTACAGGCCATTGTTAGCTGCCTGATGTGGATTCTGAGAAACGAATCCTGGTCCTCTGCAAGACTAGCATATGCTGTTAGCCAATGTGCCAAACTTTTTTCTTTCTTTTTTTGCTTTTAGAGACAGGCTTTCTCTGTGTAGCCCTGGCTGTCCTGGAACTCTGTAGATAAGGCTGACCTCAGACTCAAAGATCTGCCTGTCTCTGCCTCCCGGATACTGGAATTAAAGGTGTGCGCCACTACCACCCAGTGCAGCCTGTTGCTAGAGTTTTTCTGCCTGGCCCACAGTCAGGGCAAATCTCTCTCACCCGCCAGTCCCAAGCCGCTCAAACCCGATCAAGTAAACACAGAGACTTATTTTGGTTACAAACTGTATGGCCGTGGCAGGCTTCTTGCTAACTGTTCTTACAGATTAAATTAATCCATTTCTATTAATCTATACCTTGCCACGTGGCTTGTGGCTTACCGGTACTTTACATCTTCCTTGTCCTGATGGCGGCTGGCAGTGTCTCCCCTCCCAGCTTCCTGTTCTCTCAATTTTCCTCTCTGTTAGTCCCGCCTATACTTCCTGCCTGGCCACTGCCAATCAGTGATTTATTCATTGACCAATCAGCAACACATTTGACATACAGACCATCCCACAGCAGCAGCCCCCAACTTTTTATTTCCTAAATGTTGTTTAGAGTTTCTTCCATGTGTGAGATTAGCATTGATAACCATTCGTGTATTTCTTTAATAGACCCCTGAACTATCAGCAGACCAAAGATTCGCCATGGCAACGTGCACTGAATCAGAGCAGAGCCCCGGCCTAGATCAAGAGGACAGCTGGAGGGACCTTGCTTCCCTGGACACGGGGGAAGGCCTGGCTCCCAGGCCAGCGTCTTCCTACAAGGCTCTCAGAGAGGTGAAAGGGGACCAAGAGAGGCAGGGAGCCTGGGCCAGGTCCTTGATGCACCCCATGGAATCCCATCCTCACGTGTGCAAACTCCACCAGGAAGCAGAGGCCCCAGCGTTGGCTACCTCTTTGGAAAAGGATATGAGACAGAACTGCTATTCTGTGTGTGATATCAGGAGACTGGAAAGGTAAGATTTGCCTTACGTACACACATTTTGTAAGCTGTGTGTATTGTATTGCCAGCTGATTACAATAGCAGATACCTACTATAGAGAGGATTATTGTGCCCAGCACCATTCCAGACATTTGAGGGGAGTAAGAAGTCTGTGGCTTAAGTTGCTACAACCTGGAAACTTTGGGAAAAGGCAAACTCCATCCAGATGACAATCATCCCCAGTGTGTCCTAGAGATTGTTGATGGCAGGCCTTGTGCACTCTCCCGGCACCCAGTGTGTATCCTGCACTCCCATGGCTTCTGTAGTTGCTTGTGTTTTGTGCCATCACCCAGTGTGTATCCTGCACTCCCACGGCCTCTGTAGTTGTCGTGTTTTGTGCCATCACCCAGTGTGTGTCCTGCACTCCCACGGCCTCTGTAGTTGCTGTGTATTGTGCCATCACCCAGTGTGTGTCCTGCATTCCACGGCCTCTGTAGTTGCTGTGTATTGTGCCATCACCCAGTGTGTGTCCTGCACTCCCATGGCCTCTGTAGTTGCTGTGGTACGTGAGAACTTGTGCACATGCTCATCTCTATTGATGATATAAACCTTTATTATCAACACTACCTGGAAATAGATTTCTACCCCCCAAACCAAGTTGAAACCTCCATTTCAATTACTACTTTTTTTATTTAGTTTGTAATTCCGTGCCTACCCACTCTTAAGTATTTCTAGTTTTGATTCCTATTCTCACGAAACAAACTTTTCAATTCAGTTTGAAGGCTATTTATTACATACGTATACCTTGAACCTTGTTAGGGAGCAGAGATGGAGAAGGAGAAAGAGAAGCTCAGGGGGAGGCAGGCTGTGTTTCTGCTGCTAGGCATTTGTAAGCATGCATGGACATGAACAGGCGACAGCCAGGAGTAGTAATTTGTGTTTGAAACTATATAAAGCATTTGGGATTCTGTGACTCTCTTTTCTGGTCATTGTAACAGAGTGGTAAGAGTAGACCCACAGGGACTGATAGGTAGCATGATGCACTCAACCCTCTGTGTCTATAGGTTCTGTATTTGTATGTCCAGCCAACCCTAGATTGAAGAGATTAGAAAATGCACTGGTACTGCACACATATAGATGTTTTGGTTGTTATTTTCTAAGCAATATAGCATAACAGCTATTTATAAACCATTTTTATTGTACTAGTTACTATAAATGATCTAGAAACGAGTAAGTATTTACAACAGGATGTCTGTAGCTGATACACAAGCATGTACTTCATTTATATAGGGGGTTCCAGCATCTCGGGATCCTGGTATCTGTGTGTGTGTGTGTGTGTGTGTGTGTGTGTGTGTGTGTGTGTGTGTGTGTTTGTCAATCTCAGATGTATAGTGAGCAACCATTGTATGCTGCAGAAGTCAGGATGGCACAGCTGGGCTCTGGGAGAACTGTAGCAAACAGAGGCCAGGTTTACAGTACCTAAAGGCATCCAGATACACCTTTTTAAAGAATGCTATGCAAGCTAAACAGAAACCAACTGCTTTGCCACATAGAAACAGCATGGGCAAGCACATCCATCCGTAACGTTCATTCTCATCATCTAATAATTAACGTATGCTCCTTACAATGTTACAGTTACAGGTTTTTTGTTGTTTGTTTGTTTTGAATCCTGGGCACCATATGATAAGCTTGGTGAAGTGATAAAGGGAACAACTTAGAGACGTAGCCAGACATTAGCAAGCTTCTGTGGGACATAGGAGAATTCTCCTTTCCTGTTGGCACAAGGCCATTTGTTTAGGTTTCTAAAGGTTTTAAAAACATGCTTGTACATTGTGTGTGTGTGTGTGTGTGTATGTGTGTGTGTGTGTGTGTGTGTGTGTGTGTAATGAAAAAAACCACAGAGCATGTATAGAAGACACAAGACCACTTGGGAGAGTTAGCTCTTTTCTTACACTCAAACTCAGGTCATAACATTTGGCAGCAAGCCCCTTTATCCACTGAACCATCTCACCAGCCCCGATGTCTAAAAGTTTCATTACCAGAAAGTTTATAAAGGAATCACTGATAAATGGATTAAAAGTTCTTCTGGTTTTAAGTGCAAATCTAGTTAGATCTAGATTTACCTCTGGATTAAAAGTATCTCTGGGTTTAAGTGCAAGTCTAGTTAGATCTATATTACCATATGGCTTTAACTCAATATAGCCAATAGTTAATAAAAACATTTAAAACTTCTAATTAGCCCAGGCCGTCAGTACCGCGGTATCACAGCATATCAGATTTCATATAAAACATGGTCAGCTCCAGCCTCATACTCCACATGAGAGTACACACTGCAGCTTCCTGCAGAAAGGGATGCCTGCTCTTCCCTGAATGTTTCCAGGACGCACAACTTGCTCCTGCGTGAGGAGTCATTTGTCACCACATCCTTGTTGGTCAGACCATGCTCCTTTACATCCTGGTGAAATTTACCTTTTCATATTTTTTACTTGCAAGTCCTGACCCCCATCTCCTCTGATCTTATTGTTATTCCCTTTTAGAAAAACATGTTTGTATTTGTTCTTTGAAAATTTCATGCCATGTATTTTGATCATATCCACTCCCCTCCCCCAACTCCTGCCAGATCCTCCCCCACTGCCCTACCAACACAGCTTCATTCCTCACCTCTTAAAAACAAACAACCAACCCCCCCAAGTCTGGTTTGTGTTGGCTGACTACTCCTGGGTGTGTGGCCAGCTCTGGGTTGTGATCAGTATACTAAGTTTTATTCCATTAAAGAAAACTGACTTTCCTTCACCTAGCAGCAATTAAATGCCAACAGCTTCTTGGCAAAGGGTGGGACATTTTTTTTTTTTTTTACAAGAGAATCACTTATTTTTTATTTCCTAAATCAGATTAAATTTGGCTTATTTGCAAGAGTACACCATATGTCCCAAACCTGTCATTCTTGAAGGGTGTTCCCTTTTGAGGGTCACTTAGAGTCCTTTAGGTTTGTCCAGAACATTCTAGTGAAGCTTCTGATCCTCAGTTGCTATGGTTACCACCTCATTTTTTTTTTTCCTTCCTAAGCTCCTGTGGCCATCAATAGCTAGCTAGCTATAAACCCCTCTGGACCCATACACTTCTTTGCACTGCTTCCGTGGTGGTCCTGGGAATGACAGCCTTCTTCCTCCCCTCATCTCCTGGTTTTACTTTCACCTCATTTTCTTCTTCCATTTAAGAATTTTTCTTCACTTTGAAATCAGGACACCAAGCATGGCAGCTCCTCCTGCACAAGATAGTCCTTAGCTGCCATTTATGCACTCAGAGCAACGATTTCCAAAGAAAGGAAAGTGTAGTGAATACCCAGAAATCACTGAAAGAAGGGTCCCCAACTTGCAAATAGGGTCCTAGTTAGTATTCCAAAGTGAGACTGTGGTTATCTACAGGCTCCTTAGCAGCATCTGCAGGTCTGAGGTGGCTGTCCCAGCCAAAATGCCCCTTTGATTTCTGGCCTCTCCGGGTCAAACGTTCTGCAGTTAGGGACCAAAGGCATTAACCTGTGGGGCATGTGGTTTAGAGTCAGCATTACCATTTGTTAGTATGTGTGCCCGGAGAGCTGTCTTCCCTTAGCTGAGGGCTACCCAGTTGTGAAGTAGCACCAGGGTGCCCAGGCCACCATGCAAGCCAGAAGAAACAAGACAATATGGTGTCTGGCACATAGTAGGAACTCGGCGCTAGTCTGTATCCTACTCTTTCTTGGGCAATTTCTTGTTAAAAAACAAGCCGTATCAATTGAAATTTCCAGCCAACTGCTAGAACTTACTATCTGGCAGGTGGCTCCGTCTTAACACCAGATGGCTGCCAACACCCCAGCAAAATCAGTGTGTGTTCAGATTAGATTTCACTTATCCTTCCTCATTCTCATCTGTATCCTCCATCCGGAGCTTATGAAGCTCCCATGGTACATCGTCATGGGAGAGCTGGATTTCATACCTAATGAAAGAGGAGGGACTGGCTGAGGATACTTTTTATACAAGGCTACTTGCTAAAGTTTGGGCCTAAGGTGACAATCAATTCAAGTCTCATTATGCTTGGGCATCACTGTAGGATGTCCAACGTCATCTGTGATTTTGGTGTAGGAGCAGATCACTTTCTCTTTGGCTACGTCTCACATCAAAGCTGGAGGTTCTCCTTGAAAGGGTGGAGGGGGATGATGGTGAAGAAGATGCAGCGTAGACAGCCAGGCAGCTGCACTGGCCTGCAGGCAGCTGTGCTCTGCACCCTCAGGGCCTCCTGTTTCTGCCTGGGCAGTGCATGGCTTTTCTTGCTTTGTGTCATAACTACCCATGGTTCCCTCCCTACGTTTAAAAGAAAACATAATTTATTCACATTTGATCAAGTTTATTACATTGCTAAACCAAATTTCCTCCCAAGTACTTGACAACTTCTAAATTGTTTTGTAGTCTTGGTAAAATCCTTTCTTTTTATACACAAACCTGCATATACTCACATGTACTTGCATACACATCCTGTAGCTAGCTTTCAGGACTGGAAATGATGTCCCTTCACAGCAACACTCAGGCTGGGGTACATACTGTCTGGTGTTTGTGGGTTTACAGCTATTGAGGTATTCTAGAGTTGATTTTTAAGAGAAAGGGTCGTTATGGTAAAGGGAGCAAGGATGGGACCGTGTAAGGAAACTAACTCATTGACCTGGGTGTGGGGAGGGAGGTTGAGGAATGAGGATCCCTGTATTTAGTTAAAACAACAACTAAATCTCTGTGCTTTTCTCTTAGATTTTCCTTCTCATCTTCTTTAACCAGATTAGCAACAGATATTTTCTGAGTGGCTCTCTGCATGTCTGCAGTGCTGTCGAAACACCCTGCTGTCTGCAGTACTGCTCTGTCTCATCCAAGGCGTGTGTGGCTATCCTGGGTCCTCCCTGGAAGGCTGAATCTCTCTTTCACATCTGTGTGTGCATCGCCAGATAATGAGCCTCACCGGTCCTCTGCCTCCTGTGTCCTTCTTTTGACATGGGGACTAAATGTCACTCCAGCAGGCTGCCTATCTAAACAGAGACTTTATCAGTGCTTAGAAAAGGACCCGATGTTTGCACAAAGTGCTTTGAAGGTTGCTCCTAGCTAGCCTCCATGGGCTCTTTCCTCTAATCTGGCTGCTGAAATAGTTCAAACCATCGGAGTCAAAATAACAGCATCTCACTGATGGCAAACTCACCCCATGCCAGGAGTCCTGGAAGGCGTATAATGTATAGCAATCATTTAATTAAAACATTCTAACAATCCTAATGATTTCTCAACCTTCCAGTGTTTCAGATTAAAAAAAAAAAAAAAAAACAAACTAAGATTGCAGACAAGTAGTAAACCTACCCAGGGTCTCAGTGTAAAAAGCAGGTCCTAGAAGTGACCCCAGCTCACAGCTTCGCCTGCACTGCTGTGCCTTCCAGCAGCTCCCCAACGGGAGCTCCTGGGTTTCATATGCTGAGCTGCCTCGGCTTGCTGCTCGGGCTGTATTATTTCTGTGCTGCTCTTGTTCTCATTAGCTTGAGAGGTTCACCAGCTCAGGGACCATGTTATGTGCCGTTTGCATCCTGATGCCCTGGGCATCTTCTGGGCAAGAGCTGTTTGAACCTGGCTGGGTCTTAGGTGATGAACTAGGATGAGGATTTTGAGAGGCAAGGAGAAGGGGAGGGCAGGGATTTTTTGATGGAGGCTGCACGACACACAAGTTTCTGTTTTTTAGTCCTGGATTGGACACATGTTTTCTGCACGAAACCTCTTCCCTCACCTCGGACGATGAAGAATACCTGACCCTCAACTCCACGTTCTCAGGCCAGCTGCCCTGTGAAGAATGTCTAGAGGCTGATTCAGAGACTATTCCTCTGCCGCAGTTCTGTTCCTGGGGTGCTCTCGCAGAGTCCTCACTTCCGGAAGGATGCCATGGGAGTGAGAGTGACTGGGAGGATCTGGAGGAGTCTGTGGCTATGGATGGCACCCTCAGGTGGGTATCACACTCTGTGTGGGATGAGGCTTTGCAGAGCTCACTTGGGCTGGAGTGATGGTCCCCATGGGTATCATCTGGAAGCCGTTTCTGCTGAGTGCTTACTGGGGTCCTTTTTCCATAATGACCACCTTACGAACTGGGGACTTGTTTTATATGCTACATGAGATGCTTCTCCAGGGCTCTACAGTGACTAAAGCCCAGAGGCAGAGTTCAAGCCTTTCTCTCCCTGCTCCTCTGCCCACATGTTGAGTGCCCACTCTGCCGCCTCCAGCGCATGCGTGGACACACCTTCTCACCCCAGGTTTAGATCTTTGGAGATCAGCATGTCAAGGGCTAGTTTCAGTCTTGTCTGCACCTGCCTGCCCCTCAGCTCCATATGCTTCAGAGAACATTCCAGGCGTCATGTTACTGGAGGCTGCTTATAGAGCCATGGTGCACATGTCCAGATCAGAACACCAGGCGTGGTGGCACACAATGGTAATTTTGTAATTTGGGAAACAAAGACAGGAGAATCAGAAAAGCAAGGGCATCCTTAGGTACATAAAAAGTCCAAGGCCAGCCTGGGATACACGAGGCCCTATCTGAACAAAAATCAGAGTATTAATGCAAGCTCCTCCCCCTGAAGCTGGGAGTGGGGCTTAAGGCTGGGGCAGAGCACGCACCAAAGATAAGGGAAGAATGATTACAGCATAAACGGTCAGACTGGGAGTAGGGGAGGTTAAGTTTCTACAGGTGGGTAACCAATCAATACCTTTGTAATGTTCTACCATGTGTATAGATCCAATGTAAACAAACAAACAAACCAAAACAAATACAGAATATTCATGAAACTTTCCTATCAGCCTATTTCCAAGATACACTAAAAGCTACCAGGCATTCACTTAGGAAGATTCTGGTATAGTTAAGACTACACTGCTCACTTTGATCCCACTGCGTCCCAGCCATTTTCCTGGCTGTATAAAAGGATGTTCTGCCACCACAGGTGCCTGGACTGGACCCTCAAAGGACAATGGCAGGCAAGATGGGTGTTTGAGATTTGAATATGATGCTAAGAGTCCCATTCTTACATGAAATAGCCAGCAAGTTACTAGGAGGATTCTGAGGCTTCAGGAGCAGCTCACATACATTTGTGGGGAATCTGACATCCTGACATGGAGGGAAGACACATAAGGATTTGCAGAACTGTGAAGCAGCATGGTGAGGCTTTTATATGAAGAGCACAGTTCTAGTTGAGCTCCATGTGTCAGGAGAGCTGAAAGAAGGCTGAGTAATCTACGGGCACCCATAGGGATCAACTAAGAACTCCAAGTTAATGTGCATATGGAATGCCCCACCGAGAGCCACAGCACCAGGCTGCCTGGAGAAAGAGAGCGGTGGGGAAAGGCCATTCCAGTGGTACCACCCGGTACCACCATTCACTGCAGGAGGCAATGAAGCCCACCTGAGGCTGTCATTGCAAGGCTGAGGTGCCAATGCCAAATGTATAATGTGCTCTTGGTAACAACGAGCTGTTGTCTTCATAGACTTCAGGGGGATGATGCAAGCTTTTGAACGTACCTAATTCTGTTGTTTTTCCACATAGAGGACTAAGCAGATAGGCTTGGGCCCTGATATCAGGTTGGGGCAGGGAGAAGTACTCATCTATGGTTGAGGGTGAATAGATGACCTGGTTGGCCCTCAGCTATATAGATAGTGATTTGTGGTGTAGCTGGGATGAACCATGTCATTTTCTCAAATCCTATCCAAAAAGGAGAACAGGTCTCACCCTCTGCTGATAGAGGGTGGCAGTGAGGTGTTGAATGCTCATGGTGCCAGCCTGGGCCTAGGCTCTGTGGTTCACATATATGCTCCGTAGCACCCAGGGCTACCCATCCCTAGACAGTGTGATTCTTTTGGGAAAAGCACCATCAATATCCCTTAAATTCTCTAAAGGGTCAAGTCATCCAGGTTAAGTACTTCTGCAGATTATTGTTGTTTGTCCCAGAAGTTGGGAGGGAGGGATACAAAGAGGACTTTGCTTATGGCTGAGTAGTGCATCCTTTACAGCTATATTCAAAATTGTGTTTGCTCTATCTGGATATAAATGATTGTAAAAATTATTTTTTGATGCTGGAGAGATGAATCCATAGTTAATAGCACTTCCAGAAGATCCTGTTCATTTCCAGCACCTACACCAGGCCGCTCACAACCACCTGTAATTCAGTTCCTGGGGATTTGACTCTGGCTTCTAGCTTCTACAGATACAAGCACACAGGTGGCACACACACACACACACACACACACACACACACACACACACACACACACTTTAAAAACCTTTAAAAAAAGGTATTTCTGGGCTGGAGAGATGGCTCAGAGGTTAAGAGCACTGGCTGTTCTTCCTGAGGTCCTGAGTTCAATTCCCAGCAACCACATGGGGGCTCGCAACCATCAATAATGAGATCTGTTGCCCTCTTCTGGCCTACAGGTGTAAACGCAGGCAGAACATTGTATACATAATAAATAAATCTAAAAAAAAAAAAAGGTATTTCCTATAAACCTTACAATAAATAAATTTAACCTTTGTGGTATTCTTATTTCTCTTCTACCAATAGGCTTAGTTGTTTTATTTAATTTGTCCAGGATCACACACTGTGTGGCATACTTACAACTGTCACGATCAGCTTTTGATGCATTTTCACATTTTCACAGAATGCATTTTTCCACATGAACCACAACACACACATCCTTCCATCAGGTAGCAAGAGGACAACTTTTTTTTAGGGACTCAGGAACACAAAAGTTTATTTAGTTATTATTTTTTTCATGCAGTAAACCCCTTTATCCATACATCTTTACATGCAGACATTCATCAAAAAGAATCATTGGTGTGGTTTGAGGCCCCTGGTCTCTGCTACATTATCGACACTGGGCCCTCACTGGCACTCTTCCTGGACATCCCATTGCTGCTCTGTGTCGTGGAGATCCTGTAGTCCTTGATCTGCAGGATCCCCTCCTCCCCCTGCAGCAGATCACAGATGGGGTGGATGTTGGGGTGGGTCAACACTTAACCCTGGTTCTGGGCCTGTGTAGTTGTAGGGTTGGTTAGCCTGCCAGCTCTCCCCTATCTTCACCACCAGAGTAAGCTCTCCAGCATTGCCTTGGCGAGTTCACCCTTTGCAGGGATAAGCCAGGTGTGGGTCCAGTTCTGCTGCTTTCACACCCTCAGGGTCAGTCCTGCCACACCGACACCTTCAGGGCCAGCTCTACCATGTTGTCCAGGTGAGGTGTAGTGGCCACTTTCCCGAGTGCTGCAGCTGATGAGGGGCAGGGACAGCTCTCCAGCTCTTATGACCTCAGGGCCAGCTCTGCCACTGGATGGGATTGGGCGGGGGAAAGATGCTCTCCCCTGCCCATGCTGCTGCATGACAGATGAATAATGAGGACAGCTCTCCCTTATTCACAACTTGGGGGCTGGCTCACTCACATCTCTGCCAACAGGGTTGACTCTATTGTGCTGCCCAGGGAAGGTGCAGGGCCTGCTCTCCTGAGTGTTGCAGCTGGTGGGGGGCAGGGGCATCTTTCCTGCTCTTATGACCTCAGGGCAAACTCTCCCACTTGGCTCAGATGTTGATGGGAGAGAGGGCATCTCTCGCCTGCCCATGCTTCACATGACAGACGAGTAATGGGGACAGCTCTCCCATACTCACAACTTCAGGACTGGCTCACCCACACCTCTGCTGTCAGGATCAGCTCTACTGTGCTGCCCAGGCAAGAAACAGGGCCCACTGTCCCAAGTGCTGCAGCTGGTAGTGGAGAGCCTCAGCTCCCTCATCTGTTACAGGCAGTGAGGAGTGAGGGGTAAGAGGGGTATCTCTCCCTGCCCACACCACTGCATGACAGACGAGTAGTGGGGACAGCTCTCCCACACTCACAACTTCAGGGCTGGCTCACCCATACTTCCACCAACAGGGTTGGCTCTATTGTGCTGTCCAGGCAAAGTGCATGGCCTGTTCTCCCGAGTGTTAGAGCTGGTGGGGGACAGGAGCAGCTCTCCTGCTCCTATGACCTCAGAGTCAGTTCTCCCACCCACCCCAGATGTTGATGGGAACTGGGGGAGGGCATCTCTTTCTATCCTATGTCACCATATGGCAGATGAGGGATGGGGCCAGGTCTCCCACACTCACGTTTTCGGGCCCAGCTCACCTGTGTCCTTGTCAACAGGGTCAGCTCTGCTGTGCTGCCCAGACAAGGTGCAGGGCCTGCTTTCCTGGGTGTTGCAGCTGGTAAAGGGGTCAGCTCCCTTGCCTGCCTGAGGCAGTAGGGGAATGGGGGGGGCATCTTTCCCTCACCCATGCTACCACATAGCAGACAAGAGGGGTGTGACCTGCTCTCCCAATCTCATACCCTCAGGGTCAGCTCACTTATGCTCCTGCAAACAGTGTCAGCTCTGCTATGCTGCCCAGGTGAGGTGTAGGACCCTCTCTCCTGAGTGCTTCAGCCAGTGAGGGGCAGAACCAGCTCTGTACAGCCAGTGAGGGGTGGAGCCAACTCTGCATAGCCCTATCCTCTTAGCCTTTGGTGACATCAAGGACATCAAACATGAACACAGACCTTGGCTGCGTCAGGGCCATGAACCTAGGCATGGGCCCTGGCAGCAGCCCAGGCTGAGACATCACCATGTCACTGAGTGGCAATCAAGCCACCCACTTCAACCCACTCCTCACTGCTTTCACTTCTTAGGATATGCCTCTGTCCATGGGAAATGAACCATTCTGTCTCTGTCTCTGTCCATGGGAAATGAACCATTCTGTCTCTGTCTTGTCTCTGTCTCTCTCCAATAACACACTGTACATTTTCTCGTCATAACAG